CATCAGCATGGAGATGACTCACACATGTACATATGAAGCTCCTCTGCTCCCTTTCAAACCTCCATCCTTCACACAGCACTTAGCATAGTGCCTGGCACACAGTAGGTGCTTAATAAATGCCTGTGGCTTGACCAATTGATCTCCAACCTCCTGCCTCCAAAGACTTTGGACTGATCTGTGTCCATCCCGCATTTCCTCACTCCCAGAGGAATCTGAGCTCCTCACGTTCAGGACTGCTGCATTTCAATCTCTGTACCCCCAGCATCTCACACAGTGCCCACCACAAAGCAGGAGCCTAATAAATGTCTATTGGATTCATTTCTCTTCTGCTGAACCAATACCTCCAGTTCCTTCAATCAGCCTTCACGGGGCATGGCCTCAAAACCTTTCCTTGTCCTGGGAGCCCTTCTCCAGATATGCTCCAACTTATAGATTGAAAGTATGAAAACACTACATAAATGCCAGCTATCATCATCATCATCATCATCACCACCACCATCATCATCATCAACGTCCTCCCTAAAATGTGCTACCCCTGAACACAGAGGACAGTGGGAGCAGAACATCCTTAAGCCTCAGTCACGCCTCTCTCAGCCAAAAATGGTGCCAGCTTTTGGAGCTGCCATATTCCCCTACATGTGTGGTCCACTCAGATCCCTGGCTCTTCTTCACACCTCCCCATACTATTGTTGTGGGGTGGATTTCTTGAATACAAATGTAACACTTTACATATTTCCCTCTTAAATTTCAAATCAAGCTCAGACTTCATCAAGGCTGCCCAGTTTCCAAGTCTATGAAAACCTTTCTGGACCCTAACTCTGTCAATCACATGTATGCTGTCCCTTCTAGATTGGTGGGAGCTAAACTTTTCAATACCATAGAGCTAAGTGTCAACAGAAAATTAAGAGCTAGAAGCTAGAGTCAGGAAGCCCTCAGTTCAAATCCCGCCTCAAACTCTTCCTAGCTTCCAAGTCACTTAAACCATCCTCAGCCTCAGTTTCTTCATCAGTAAAATGGGGATAATAATAGCACCTGCTTCCCACGGTTACTGTGAGGAGAGGATAAGATCATAATTGTAAAGAGGTTTGTAAGTTTTAAAGTACCATATAAGTGCTAACTATTATTATTACAAAACTTTGAAATATATTTAATCTGAGGCACACAGTAAATGCTTAATAAATGCTGTTTTATTCATTCACTCATTCACTTAGCAGAGGCATAAAAGTATAAAGGTACACACTCTACCACCTTTAGGACCTGAATATCTAAAATCTGACCCATAGCTAGCATCCTTCCATCCCCTTAAGAAATAACTCTACTTACCAGCTTTTTGGTGACAACTTGAATGCAGATGCACAGGCTAACGCCAAAGGCAAGACCCAAGTACACATAAAACCTGTTCACCCACAAGGATATCAAAGGTGTGTAGAAGTGGTCCCATGCATCCAAGGAAGCATCTAAGTGGAAATTACACACATAGTTGTAAATATAACATGAGCAAATCATTTTTTTCCTATTAAAACACACTATAATTATATAATTATATATGTGTAATAAATAAATAATAATAAAGTAATAAATATAATAAAATAATAGATAAGATAGATAAAAATAAATTAAATTTAAAATAAAAATATATAATAAATAATATACAAACATATTAAATAATACATAATTATAAATTGAAACAAGTGGCACCAGCCAATCTAACCAGAAATCTAACTAGCACAAGCCAAGGGATAGTCGGAGTTCCCCATTCATTCTAAGTGAACTCCAGCTACATTAATTTAACAGGATTCAACTAGATGCTTAAGCCACTCACACACTTTATTTCTGATGAGGGCAACTGGACAATGTTTAGTGTTTCTCTAAGCACCTGAAAAGAAGTTCCCATTTTTCAAAGATCAGTTTGTGCCCAGAAAGCACCTCATAAACACAGAAAGGGGAAAAAACTCCCATGTAGACCCCAGGGTTCACTCAGCAGTCTTCATATTTCTTAACTTCCCTCAAAGGTTTCTGGAGCTGCAGAAATTAACTTCCCATTCTTATGTTAGATGAATGCAATTAAGGGCGAATCAGCTCATTTGTGTTCACATCACTGCCTTATTGAGAGCGGATACTTTGAGCCATCCATCCTCTTTAGACAGGAAAGCCCCGAACAGGCCACCGGAGTTTATCAAACATGTTTGCTTATTCTAGCTGTGTTCGTGCCTTTTACACAGTAATAAAGCTTGACTAATCCCACGGCCAAGGGTTGCCAAATGCAATAGACCCTACAATGTCATGGGAGTCAGACTTGCTTAGACGGTGTCCTTTGCCTCGAAACGTTGAAAGTTGGACCTGTTTTCACTGCAGTGCAAAATAAAGTCAGGCAAACCAGTGAAGTGCTATTGGAAACAACAGGCAAGGCATAGTTTAAAAAAAGAAGTGCTGGGCTTGGAATCAGGAGATCTGGATTCAAAATCCGCCTTCCAAATGACACCTGACAGAGGTGAACTTAAGAGAGGCATTTCATGATCATAGCCTCAGTATCCTCATCCGGAAAATGGGGGCTCAGGACTTTCACTACCCATCATATGCAATTGTTTTGAACAAAACGCCTCTGTTTCTGCAGTGCGAGACATTCCATCAATTGCTTTTACCACAGAGTGACACAAAATTAACACAGCACAAACTTCCTCTTCCATCAGATCCAATACCAATGTATCCCAAGAATGAAAATGAGGCAGCAATGAACAATGGAGGGGCTGGGCTTGGAATCAGGGACTCGCTCTGACTAGCTGTATGACCCTTGGAAAGTTACTGAATCCGTAAGAGTTTCCAACAACTCCCTAAGACCTGGGGTGGAACCCACATACCCAACACCAAAATCACAGCTCCACCCCAGCTATGCGTTCTGGGGCATGGTGGGAAAAAACACCAGATTTGGAGTCATAGGACCTGAGTTCAAATGTCAACTCTGCCCCTTTCTATCTGTACAGCCCGGATCTCCTGGGCCTGTTTCCTTGTCCACAAATTGAGAGAGCCTAGAGAGCACTCTAGATGTATGATTTTAGGAAGTGGCCTTGAGTATCATCAATTCCAGCCCATTCATTTTACCGATGAGGAAACTGGGGCCCAGTGTGCGACGGTGACTTGCCTGTGGTCACAAAGTAAAGAACAAATTGGAACCCAACTCCATAGCAACATCTGATAAGCACCTACTTCAATATGTGCCAGGCACATGCCAAGACAGCCAGCGCCCAACCTTCAAAAACCTTACATTCCACCAGGGGAAACATATAGAAAGAAAATTAAATACAAGATACATACAGAGTAATTTCCAGGGAGAGGACATTAGAAATCGAGGGCATCATGAAGGCTTCTGGAAGGAGGGGGCATTTCAGCTGAGCAGGATTTATGAGGGAGAGGGAGGCTAGGAGTACAGTTATCCCTTTCACATCTTGGCTTTCCCCACCGATGTTTCGCTCCATCTTATCAGTCAGCATAAGAAATTAAATGGGAATTTTGGGGGAGTTTTGTGGAAGCCACAGACTACACAGAAGACCAGCAGATGACACAGAGCCTACAACCAAATACTTAACCCAAATTTTACAATAAGGTCATGTAAACACCCCACATGAGAAAAAAAAAATCAGATTTCTTCTCTGGTACAAAGGGAGGGCCAAAAAATTTTACCCAGATTTTCCAGATCGCAGGGCACCTCACCCCTAACCACCCCCCCAACTCCAGCAAGGTGGAAGGTATAACTGTACATTCAGACATGTGGGACAGCCTTTATAGAGAGCCAGCAACCCATGATCCACCACCTCATCTCTCCCGTGATAAAGGTACCCCAACAGGCGTTTTCTAGAGCCCCAGAGGACCATTAGGAATTCCTCCAGAAGGGAATTGGCCCTTCCCCAATGTCTCTGTGTGTATGTGTGTGTGTGCGTTTGTGTGTCTGTGTGTGTTTTTGGGGGGGGGGGGAAGAAAGGAGGAGGACCAAAGCTGGTCCAGATATTCTCATTCTGTGCTTCCATTTTCTGACTCTACAATACCTACAATGCCCTCCCCTCGTCATCTCTCTCCTCACTTCTTAGAATCCTTCCTTCCTTCCAAACCCTGCTTCTGGATCCTACACAAAGCCTTCCCTGACTTCTGCCTTGTCATTACTTTGTATCTATATATTTTGAATTTACTTAGATTGTATCTACAGCCTCGTGACTGGGGACCTTGTTTGTAATACCTTGGTAACTGTATTTCAATATAATTTGGCTTTCTGAGTGATCCTAGGTATTTTATTCTAGGTATTTAAAAAGGTGATTCTGAGATTTGCTCCATAGGTTTCTCCAGACTGACAGTGATTCAATAAGCATTTGTTCAGCGTCTTCTATGTGCCAGTAACTGCACTGGTTATACACGACATATATGTGTGTGCGTGTGTGTCTACATATGTACATGTATATACATACACACATATATACATACATACATATATACATAACAGATATATATATATATATATGCAATAAGCATCCCCCCTCCCCAAGGGGCTCAGAGTCCCGTAGAAACAAAAAGAAAACAATTTGGCGCAAATAGGAAAAACATCGGATAAAAGGGGGACTGTCTCTCAAGGAAGGCTCTGGCATGAAGGAGGGATGGGGGTCCAGAAAGGCTTCCTAACAGGAGCCAAGGGGGTCCAGGGCACAATAAACAATCACACTGCTTAGCACTGTGGCTGGAACACAGTGGGCGCTTAATAAATGTGGATTTTATTTGCTCTGAGACCCGGCAATAACGTTCTCAAGAAGAGCTGGGTTCAAATTCAACTTCTGAAAGTGACTAGTTGTGTGACCCTGGGCAAGCCTCATTTTCCTCATCTGAAATCCAGGTAACTGCCTAAGGGGATTCTAGAATGGTCGGCCCCCAATAGAATAGAAGCTTCACGAGAGCACCGGCGACTGGGTTTTTGCCTCAATCTGCACCCCAACCTCAGCTAGCACGTGGTAAGCGTTTTATAAACGTAGGTCAACGGACCAGCCAATCGCTGAGCAGAAACCTGTGTCCCACCAATCCCCGCTCTCCGTCCCGCTCCCACGCATGCGCGTGCACGCACGCACCAACGGGAACGAGCGCGCCTGCGCAGGCGGACGGCCCCCCTCGAGAGCCCATCTACGCGCGGGGGGAGCTTGGGATAGCCCTGGAAGGCGGCTGGCAGTCTCCGGGGCCGGCCGGGGCAGGGTCCGCGTGGGCCTGAACCCTAACAGGGGAGGCGGGGACCGAGAGCGGACCTTACCCATGTCCTCGGCGGGTGGCGGGAGCAGGGTCTGGGCCAGGCGGACAGCGGCAGCCCGGCAGGCGCTACAGCTGCGGGCTCCGGGAGGCCGGGGCTGCGGGGAGAGTGGCAGCTGGGCCGGCGCCCGTCATTGGTCAGCGGGCGAGGGTGGGCGGGACTCCAGCTCCTGGGGCGGGGCTCTCATCGCCAGCCCCGCCCCTGTGGCCCCATGAATAGCAGAGCGGGCCACTTAAGGGCCTCGTGGGGATCTCTCTGCGGGTGAAATGGAACTCAAAAGAATAGGAGCAGAGAGATGGTATATCTGGATCTGGAATGGACCTCAGAAGGGATGGATGGAGGAAACAAGCAAGCATTTATTGAGCGCTTACTACATACAATGCACCCTGCTGAACACGGGGGCGGGGGGGATACAAGGAGAGAAATGCGGTGAACCCTGCTCTCAAGGAGTTCACATCCTAACGGGGCTGTCCAGCCCAACCCCCATCCAGGACCTGGCCAAGATCACACAGTATCGAGCTGGAAGGGATCTTCTAATTCAATCCACTCACTTTACAGGTGAAGAAACTGAGGCCCAGAGGTGTTAGCCTCAGATGAGACCGTGCTCTTTTGCCCCTTAGTAGGTGCCTTGGTGTGTAAAGAATAATAGCTAACATTCATTAATCACCTACTATGTGCCAGGCCCTGTGCTGAGTGCGTTAGTAGTAGTAATAATAGCTTACATTTATGTAGCACCTACATAAATGATCGGCACTGTGCTAAACGCTTTACAATTATCTGGTTCAATCCTCAACAATCCTGAGAGGTTGGCGTTGTTATTATCCCCATTATGCAGATGGAGAAAGTGGGGCAGTGACTTGCCCAAGGGCCCAAAGCCAGTAAGTATCTGGATTTGAACTCAGATCCATCCTGACTCCAGGCTCTGTGCTCTATCCATTGCGTCAAGTAGCTGCCTCTACTTGCGTATTCATCCTGACGGTCCCACACACTAAGGTAGATTGATGGGCAACAGGGAGTGAAGAAGGACTCTCGCCTGCCCCGGAACTCCACCTCTCCCACTGCAAGTTTCCACCCGGTCGTTAAAAGCCAGAGCCCCAGGGTGATTCAATTTCAGCCTAGAGCAACCGGGTAAGAGCGGAGAGGAGCAGAAGAAGCTGAAGAGGGCAGTGGCGCATCTCTCATTGGTGAAGCCAAGGGCCCATCAAGTCTCCCTGCCTTCTGATTGGTTTGGGTTATGTGGACGCACCCCACGGTGTAAAGTGCTGTTTTCCCCGGCTCTTCCTAACGCCTGCGCATTAAGGACGGCCGGCGGGGGTTGTGGGAGCGGCGGAGGCGGCTTCGACTTCGAGCCTTCCCTGGGAGAGTACGCGCCGCCCGGCTCGAGGGTCCCCGGCCGTTAGCAGGCCCGCCCTCCGGGTGGGGACCGGCCACCACCATGTCGATTTTCACGCCCACCAACCAGATCCGCCTGACGAATGTGGCCGTGGTGCGCATGAAGCGCGGGGGGAAGCGCTTTGAGATCGCATGCTACAAGAACAAGGTCGTGGGCTGGCGCAGCGGCGTGTGAGTGAGGGGGGAGCGGGGCTGGGGCCCTCTCCTCGAAGGGGCGGGCGGCGGGCCGAGATGAGCGTCCACCTCCCGCATGCACTTATTAGGCCCCTGCTGTGTGCCAAGCCCTGCTGGCGCTGGGAACCCGAAGACCCGGGAGGAAGCGGCCCCGGCCCCGGGGGCTTTCACTGCCCTGATCCGCCGGCGCCCAAGCACGTAGGGCCCTGGCCTGTGCCAGGAGAGGAGGATGCTCAGGAGCAGTGGAAACAGGCCTTGCCGTAGAGGGGCTTACATTCTAAGGGGGAGGGGGTGGGGGCAACAGACGTAGATACAGAATAGGTGCACAGTAATTGGGGAGGGGGCACCAGCAACTGGGGGAGCGGGGTGCCAGCTTGGGGGGGGGCCAAGGAGCAGCAAACGGACTTTTCTGTACCATTTATTAAGAGCCTGTGTGTGCCAGGCACTGTGCCAAGCACTGGGGATACAGATGAGAAAAAGAGAGGCCCTGCCCTCAAGGAGTTTACACTCTAATGTGGTCCCACCCAAAGGGAGGCTGGAAAGGGGGTGCGTAGAGTGGAAGCCCTGCAGGCCGTCAGATGCCAAGGGAAGAGCTGAGTCCACCCTCGCCTTCTCTAAAGGAAGGCCTTGGGAGGAGTTTGGTTCTCCACCCGCAGCCTGAAGGCTGGAGGGAGCTCAGGGTGCTGAGGTCAGAGGTGATGAGCTTATTCTGGGAGGGGCATTGAAAGCGGGCAGGGCCCAGATGCCATGGGCAGGCTATTTGCTTGGTAATAAGGGACCAGGTTATAAAGAGGTATAAATGCCAAACAAAGAGTCAGAAGTGTATCCTGGAGGTCATAGCGAGCTATTGGAGGTTATCAGGTAGGGTCTTGACTTAGGGTAATCACGTTGAGCGCTCTGTGGAGGGTCTCAAGCTGGCCCGGGCACCTGGAGTGCTCTCCCTCTCCCCAGCTCTGCCTCCTGGCTTCCTTCAAAGCCCAACCAAAACCCCATCGAATATAGAAACCTTTCCCAACCCCTTTTAATTCTAGTGTCTTCCCTCTTTTAATTATTTCCTATTTATCTTGTATATAGTTCATGTATATTTGTCTCTCCTATTTGATTTTGCAATTCTTGAGAGTAGGGAGTGGTTTTTGCCTCTTTTTATGTCCCCATAGTTTAACACTGTGCCTGGCAGGAGGCGCTTCTTGTGATTGACTGAGGGAAACCAATTAGAAGGTTGTTACTAGGGTCCAGGTAACATGCTGAAGGCCTGACCTCCACAGTGGGGATGTGGGTGTAGAGAAGGGAACAGCCTGAGATGTGGAGGTGAAATGGACAGGACTTAGCAGTGGGTCAGATTGGGAGTGAGGAGGAGGAGGAGGTTGTGAGCCTCGTGTCTGTAAGGACAGTGAGGCATTTACTCGAAATAGTTAAGTAAGGAATAGGAAAGGGTTTAGGGCAAGGTCAGGATCCATGGAGGGGACCCAGCCAGTCCTCTTGACCGATGTCTTGGATGCTGGACTCCAGTGATGACTTTGTACTACTCTGCCTCACTTAAATCGAATTCACTTATAAGTCCAGATGTCGCTTTCCGATGTCATTAGTTCTCTTCAAGAATGAAGGACAAACAAGATCGATGGGACACCCCCCCTCCCCCGGAGTCTGGAATTTGAATGGGAAAAAAATTTCCATCTTTATTTCACTGATCTTTATGATCCTGTATACTTTATGCACATATAATAAACATTCTGAGAAGGGGTCCATATGCTTCACCAGATTGCCACTGGGGGTCCATGACAAAAAATTCCTGTTCGAGATTGATGGGCATGGTAAAGAGGAGAGAATTGGTTTTTAGAGCTGGAGCTGTGTAAGCAGTGGGGGAAGGCCCGGTTGTTAAGGAAAGATCGAAAATTAGAAAGGAAGACGATCAGAGGCACGGGCTTCTCCAGGAGACCAGGGAGGATGAGATCAAGCCAGACGCAGCATCACCGAAGCGCTTTTCTGCCCACCACACACACCTCTTCACTGTCTCTGCTGTAAACTGCCGATACTTTAGTTACGTCTGCTAACGCTGATGGCAAGACCTGGGTCCAAATCCATTTTTCCCCCTGTGGTCATTAGTCCTTTCACTTACTTACCTGTAAAACAGAGATGATAATAATAGTGCTTACTTCACAGTATGGTGGTTGTGGGTAGAATAACATGTAAAACCCTATATGATACTGTAGAGGAGAAGTAGAAATAGCCACAGATTTGTAGTCTGAAGACCTTGGTTCAAATGCAGACTTTGCCACTTACTGAGTGACCTTAGGCAGATCCCTTAATCAACCTGGGTCTGGGTTTCTTGGATGTAAAATGAGTGGGAACTGGTGACCTCTGCCATCCCTCCCAGCTCTCAAATCTATAATCCTTAGTAGCAACAGTGCTACCTATAGACCCCAGAAGTAAATTGTATTAGAAATGTCCTGGGAAAAAAAAGAAAAAGAAATTTCCTGTTGGGCAATCAGCAGAATGAGAAGTGGCCCGTTGTCTTGAGAATGATTGGTTCACAAGACATTGAATGTTGCTGTTGAGTGTTATTGAAGACAGTATCATTCTGGTATGCTTAAATAGCCTGGCTTTGTGAAACTTTCAGTTATATTCATGTGTGACTTTCTCTCCCTCCCCTTCCCTTCCCCTCAGGGAAAAAGATCTTGATGAAGTTTTGCAGACCCACTCTGTGTTCGTAAATGTTTCTAAAGGCCAAGTTGCTAAAAAGGAAGATCTTATCAGTGCTTTTGGAACCGATGACCAGACTGAAATCTGTAAGCAGGTGAGTTCTGCAGAATCTGATATGATGAAGCATTTCGTCCAAACTGAACTTTGCTGTCATTTCCTGTCTTCGTTGTTCACCCTGGAAAGCACTTTAGAGCAGCAGGGTTTCAAGGCTAACTTGAAGTATACCAATTCAGAATTAATTAGTTGCCTTTCTGCTTAATAAAAATGTCTTCCTCTCCAAAGGTCCAAATGTTTAGAATATCATAGACTCATGTAGCTGGGAGGAACCCAAAGGATCCATCTAAGCCTTGCCCTCCACTACATCCTGACCCCAAGGTAATGCAGAGCCCAGACTCCAGAGTTTTGCCCACCAGAATGGCTTTATGCACAAGCCTGTCTCTAATGTGGTGACCAGCCTAGTTTAGTTGACAGAGGGTTCTGATTTAAAAATTGGCCACCAACTGAATAAATTTCTTAACCACAGCAATTCATGAAAACTTACCAACAAAGAATAGGAGGGCTCTGATAATTAGTGAATACCAGTGAAATTATAGACCTTTAAAATATAAAAGTTTTGAAAGAAAAAGGATTTCAGTCTAAAATCAGTCACTTTATTCAAACCTGTACCTCAAGAAATTTCAGTTTCCTCCAAATCAAGTTCTCCTTTTGTGAGCAATTTTCATTCTGGCCTATCTAAAATTAAAACTTTACTTGACTCATTTTACTCATTTAGAAATACTTAAAATATTTAATATCATCATTCAAATTTCATAGATTGTCTTTTTCCTTCTAGCCTACATCATCCCAACCTAGGGAAGCTTTACAGTTGTTCAGAAGGCACAGATGATAATCCAGTTCATCTTAAAGAATGGGGGCCTGTGCAGCCTCACATCTGAAATTGTTAATAATTTTCATCCCAGAAATTCAGTCATCTTCATGGCTATAGCTGATTATCTTTGGGGGTCAACTAGCATATGATATGGGCACTTTAAAAATTAATGGCTATTAAAGTAGATTGCCGTCAACAAGCTGTGGTCTGTGAGTGGACTATAGGAAACAGTGAAGGTAAGTCAGAGAAGCATGGGAAAACGGAGAGAAACTAATGCAAAGTGAAGTCAGCAGAACCAAGAAACCATATTCACACTGACTACAACAATGCAAATAGAAGAAAACGTGATCAAAACGGGATGCTGCAAAATGCGAGCTGTGTAGAGAGAGCTATGAGAAGGACCAGAGGTGGGAGAGGAGTGTGAACACTACACTCAGTACCTGAGCTGCTCCTGCTCAGCTGTTTTTCAGCCTTTGTTCTAAGTGATGGCTCTCGGGAAGAAATTTAGATGATGAAAAACCAAATGGTAACAATAAAAATATGTTTGATAAGTAAAACTAAGGCTTGTTTCTTCTAGATTTTAACAAAAGGAGAAGTGCAAGTGTCAGATAAAGAACGACACACACAGCTGGAGCAGATGTTTAGGGATATTGCAACAATTGTAGCAGATAAATGTGTAAATCCTGAAACAAAGAGACCATACACCGTCATCCTCATTGAAAGAGCAATGAAGGACATCCACTATTCCGTCAAACCCAACAAGAGCACAAAGCAGCAGGTCAGTATGTGGCTGTTGGGGTTTTGAAGTATCCTTGAAATTCTGTCCATGGAAATAAGTTTCTGCCCACCGTGCCCTTAACCCTGTTGTCAGTCTTCAGTCAGATCAGTAAGCATTTATAAATACCTGCCACGTGCCAGGCATTGTGCTCAGTGTTGTTTAGTGGTTTTCCAGTCATGTCCGACACTTCGTTTGGGGTTTTCTTGGCAGAGATACTGGAGTGGTTTAGTTTCTTTCTCCAGCTCATTTTACACATGAGGAAACTGAGGCCAGATTTGAACTCAGGAAGAGGAGTCTTCCTGATTCCAGGCCTGGTACTCAGCGCACTGCACGCCCAGCTGCCCTCCATCGTGCTAAACACTGAGGACCCAAGGAAAGACTCAACAATCCTGCTCTCTAGGAGCGCAGAGGCTAATGGGGGAGACAACATGCAAACAGTGGTGTGCAAATGAGGTCTATACAGGACACATTAGAAGTAACAGCAGAGGGAAGGCACGAGAATTAAGAGGGGTTGTGAAAGGCTTCTTGGGAAAGTTGGATTTTAGCTTGGACTTGAAGGAAACTGGGAAAGGGGAGAGTCCCATCCCTGGGGGACAGCCGGGGAAAGGAGGATCATGGGAAATAGAAAAGGTGACCCAAGGAAACCGAAAGACCCCATGACTTGTTTTCCTTTATCTTCACAGGCCTTGGAAGTAATAAGACAGTTGAAGGAAAACATGAAGATTGAGCGGGCCCACATGAGGCTTCGATTCATTCTACCTGTGAGGGAGGGGAAAAAGCTCAAAGAAAAGCTCAAACCATTGATCAAGGTGGTAGAAAGTGAAGACTTTGGTGACCAGTTAGAAATCGTAAGCTAAAATCTTTTCATTCCTTTGTATATTTGCTTTCTAAGTTATTTCTGCACTTAGGTTGTCAGAAACATTAAAAAGGAGTGCCTAGGCAAATTTGTGTATAGAAAAGTGTTTTGGATTATAAGTTATAGATTCAGTACTACAGGATGACTGTTTTCCCTGGGCTCTGAAGGGAAATGCCTTTTTTGGAGTTGGCGTGCTTAAAGAAGACTGGCAGTGACGTTCTTACGGCACAGGACAATATGATCGAGGTTCATATGGTGACAAGGATGAAATTACCAGGGCACTTCCCCACAGAATGTTACAAAGAAATGACAAAAGCACACAGCTCATAGACTTCAGTTATAATGTTTTAAAATCTAAGGCTTTTAAAACCTTCACAGATAAGGAAGCAGGATATTATCCTAGTGGTATCTACTATGTTGACTTCCCATGTTAATAGTTTTTATTTTGTTTTTGCTTTTTGGGGGAGGGTAGAGTGGGGAAGTATTTATATAATGCCCACTAGGTACAGATATTTTTTACCTCATTTGATCCTCACAACAACTCTGCACGGCAGGTTATTGTCCCCATTTTACAGTTTGGGAAATTGAGGTAAACAAGTTAAGTGACTCACCCAGAGTCACACACAAGTGCGTGCCTGAGTCTGGATTTGAACTGAGGTCCTCTGACCCCTGGCCCAGCTGTGGGGGAGTATCTATCTACTGTATTACCAGCTGCCTCTTTTATTTGAAGCAGCCCACCTCCTCTGTCATCCAGTGATAGAGTCATCATTAGGAAATTTTGAGATATTTTTCCGAGAATGTAATTCCTAAATGAGCACCTGAACCTTTCTGCTTTGAACTGGGACAAAATGAGGACAAAAATCTTTTGATAAATTTGTGTCTTGAAGGATTCCACATCTGCATTTGTAAAGAACAAGATTCTGTCTGTGTGACACTATCAAAGAACTCTGTTAAATGTTTCAGGTGTGTCTCATTGACCCTGGCTGCTTTAGAGAAATTGATGAGCTGATACAGAGGGAGACAAAAGGAAAAGGTTCTTTGGAAGTTCTCAGCTTGAAAGACGTGGAAGAAGGAGATGAGAAATTTGAATGAAAGCTTTTCACTGTCTCTTTACTTATAAACACAACACTAAAAGGTGTTCTCACTTCCCTCAGCACTGTTAACTTCTGTGTTTTTTTTTTTCTGCCAAATACTTACTTAGACTGCTTAATTTGAGGTTTTCATTCTAGTATGTGTGATAATTAAACAAGTCACTTATATACAGATTATTCAGTATAAAAATCCTAATGTGGAATAAATGCATCCTGGCTGTCAAGTTGGGCTACTAATATTAAAAGAATCAGGGTGAACCTCTTGCTGTTCTGCATTCTACCTGGGCATCTGGGCTCTCTGTGTCATCCTAATTTAGACAGTGGCCATCCAGTGTTAACTTTATATCTATGAGAGTTGTCTCAAAGTTTACACTAAAAATTCATGCTTTAGAAACATTCCTTGACAGAAATGGAGTGTGTGCACAAAGATGTAAGCCTGCAGCGTTTCTGCAGGACAGAATTTGAGTGATTTTAATTTGGCCTAATATTAAGCTGGGTGTTGTGACTTGCCAACTGACACTGCTTTTAATGTGTGTGTGTACAGATATAGATATATATCTATATACATATATAGATACACATACACAGTTACTGACTGCCCGTCAGTATTCTCACGTAGTAGCATGCTGCCAAAATGTAAAAGACTATCTTTGGTTTAAAAAGAAATTAAGTCATTCATGATAATTTTTAAAATTTATAATATATGTTAATACAAATGAAGTTATATGTAACAAATAAAACCTCTATTATTTTTATTAAACAATGGCCTGTGTGTTTCGAAACAATATCTTCCCATTTTTGTCAGTTTTACATTCTGTGTCATGTAGGACTGAGAAATAACATGCCTTCTTTTGGATTTGTAAAAGAAGGTTTAATTATTTAATACAAATATCCAAATAAATGAGCTTCAGTTTTTTTTTTAAGACAAACTCCTAAAATAGGTTACATTATAGAAGATGAACTGTAGCTTTATATAACATATATTTTAACAAAACAATATTTTTCCTTAGTAAAAAACAGAAAATAAATAAATTCCCCTTGTAAATAAGCCTGATATACAAGTCTTAGGTACTTCTTAATCATTAGGGCTATACATCCTAATCATGTACCAGATGTCCTAATTAGGGCTTTCTCAGATACAAACATCTACCAAAACTAAATTATTTTATACCAAAATTAAAATTGTTTATTAAAAGTGTTTATTTCAAGTTCTACATTCCTTCTAGCAGGACATAATATTCTTACTGCTTAATATGTATGGAAAGGAATATTAATGATGGTATTTGACATGCGCAAAGAGTGCCCCACAAGTTGGCATCAACTTTACTGTTCTGTCCAATATTTTTTTTGTAATCAGTTTAAGTTTGCCTATAAAACTTACAAATTATGTAGTTGGCATTAAATGCATTTATCATTAACCATAGTGCTATGATGCTTTTTTAACTCTTTATAATACAATTGTCTGTTGTTGATCAAGATGACATCTTTAATGGGGGCTGTAGTGAAATGTTAAAATATGATACTCCCCCACTCATTCTCTTTAGAGTAAAGGGTAAAATGAAAGAAGGAGAGGCAGAAGAACACCTGATCTGAGGGATTTCAAAGTGAGGAAGCTAACATTTAAAGGTGTGTTAAGTGCATTTGGGGTCTTATCAACCATGATACTTGTATTGGGCAGATACACTAGGTTGCTAGGCACTAGCCTTCTCAGGTGTATTCTGTTGTTATACCTATAACATTCAAAATACTCCATTTGGCCTCTGAGGAAATGTCACTTAAATCAAACTCCCAGTGACAGGAAGGGCCCGCCTCCTCATTTGTACCAGGAATTCACTCAGGTGAATGGTGGGTGTTTTTCCTAATAAGGATTTTCTACAAGCATGAATTTTGTCAACTACTAGGTAACACACAACATTTAAAGGACCCACTGGTGATAGTGAAAGGACATGAAAAGGCAATTTTCTAAGGAAGCTATCAACAGCCATAAGGGAAAGCTGCCCCAAATCACTAATAATTGGAGAAATGCAAATTAAAGGAAACCTGAGGTTCCATCCATCCATCCATCAATATTGACAGTTGACAATTAAAAGAAAGTCACAAATGTTGGAGAGGCTGCTGGAAAACAGGCCTGTTAGTGTACTGTTGGTGGAGCCGTGAACTGGTAAAAAACCATTTTAGAAAGCATTGGGGCTGTGCCCAACACATCACTAAATTATTACTCTCCTTTGACCTATCTCTACTATTAGGCCTGTATTCCAAAGAGATCAAAGAAAGAGGGAAAGGAATACGTACAAAAATATTTATAGCAGCTCTTTCGTAGTAGCAAAGCACTGGAAACTAAGGGTGTGCCCATTAACCGTAGAATGGCTGAACGAATAGCATGTGAATGTAACAGTGCCATTGAGCACTGAAGAAACATGAAGGAGACAGTTCCAAGGAAAGCTGGGAAGATTTATATGAACTAATGCAGAGTGAAGCGAGCAGAACCAGAAGAACCGTTCATACAATGACAGTACTATAAAGACAACTCTGAAAGCCTTAAGAACTCTGATCAATGCTATGACCAACTATAATTCCAGAGGACTCCATGAAAGATGCTACCCACCTCCTAACAGGGGATGGACTAAAAGACAAAGCACATTTTGGGGTGTGGCCAATATGAGAATCTGTTTTCTTTGACTGTATTTCGTACCAGGGTTTGTTTTTCTTCAATGTTTGAAGAGAAAGGCATGGAGAGACAACAATCCATTTCTGTCCATTAAAAAAATAAAATTTAATAAAATTTTAAAAAATTAAAAAGAACTAACTGAGTGTTTTTAAGGTCTTCAGGAAGGCTGCTGAGATTTAACTTCATGAGGACCAAGTCAGCCCACTTGGCCAGAGACCAGTGGCTTCCAGGTCTGGCCTGAGGCCTGGACGATCCAGAAACAAGCAGATCGGAGCGTGGGAAAGCTGCACAAGCATCCCAGTTCCAGACCTGTACCAAGGCTTTAGCACCAACCTCCAACTTCATAGGAGTTGTTATGGTTAATAAAAGCCTTTGGGATTCAAAGGCTACCCTACCACGAATTACTTCCAATATCAGATATCTCAATAAGAATAAACGAACCAAGACATTACTCAATCCACCAGTCTTTGCTTGAGGAGCTTCTGTGATCTCAGCTGGGACTCCCTAAGTATGAGTTAGAGCTTCTGAGAACCTCAACAGCCCTGTGGCTGACCAGCTGGGGAATTCCGGGCTTCTAGTACAGTTCTCAGCACCTAACTTAATGCACAGTAGATGCTCAATAGTAGTTTGTTGAACAGAAAAATACACCAGATTTGGATAGGTTCCTCAACCAAATGGAAAATGAGCTGTCTTTCAGCTCTTTTTATCATAACCTATTGAAAGAGCACTACCTGAAAATGACCAAGGACATCAAGTCCAACTAGATCCACTATTTGACAAGCCTGAAATATTCAGTTGAGTGAAAAATTCACTTCAACACTGAAGCTGTTTGCTCTGATGTGATCCTTGAAATGACTCTGCTCATCCAACTCACAAGAAATAATCCAGTTTACTGTATGCAGACCGCTGGTCTAAGCACTGGGTGAGATAATGATGTAAGTTAGGTAAGACTTAGTATGGCATGATCCTTCACCTCAGGGAGCTAAAGACCTAGTAGAGGACACAAGACATAAATAACTATACTATAAAATAATACACTATAAGCACATAATGAAGGAACAAAGTGCTATGTGAGGTCCAACGGGCTAGTATTGCATGCAGAGAGGTCTCAGGAAAGGCTTGTGGGAAAATGAAGTATTACAAGCATTGGGCTTGTAAAGGATAAATTAGAATCAACATGAAGCTAGCATGAAGGTTAGAACTGTGTGAGCAAAGGCAATTGGGCAGGAGTATGTGGGGCAGGAGAAAGAAAGAAAGAAACGAGAATGGGTCTGGAGGGTATGATGACAGATTCATACAAACTAGGAAGACTCAGTGTGAAAACGTGTAAAGGGAAGTGAGCAGAGCCAGGAAAACAATTTACCCAAGGATGATAATAATGTAAGGGTAACAGTGGCAAAAGAGGTCAGAATTCTGGCCAATGTAGTGACTGATCCCAGCTTCAGAAGAGAAGGGAAGCACTGGACGTGCAAAAGAAGACATTTTCAGAGATGGCCGACCTGTGGATTTGTTTGGTTTGGGCTTTGATGGGGGGATAAGATGGGGGGAGTCGGAAGAAAAGAACATCAGGGAAACATTTAGAAATACATGAGAACAGAAGGAACTTCAGGAGGACACACAGACTAACAGGACAGTTGCATAGCATTAAATTTTACATATTTATAAAAGAAATATATACCTTTTTTTTAACTGCACATAAATTCACAGTTTCAGATAATCTTTTTTTCTGTTCTCTCTATATTGAAATGTTTATGTTTGTAAAGTTCATGATATAAAAGAAAAACACGTTAAAAAGGAAGGCAGAGTAAAAGTCAAATCACGGAGGGCCACTGAGGATTCTGAACAAAGAGGACAATGAACACATCTGCACAAAAGGAAGATTAGTTTAGTCCTCTGGTGGAGAAAGAACTGGAAGAGAACAGAGTGGAGGGTCTTTCAATAGCAGGCAGTAAGGAATAAGAGCCTGGACTAGGAGGACGTGAGAACTACAGAAGAGGCAGAGTAGACAGTACCTGGTGACTCATCATACATGAGAGATGACAAAGAGGACATTAAATATCACCAACGTTTCAAACCTGCAATCCTGGCCGATGGAAATGTTCCTAACGGAAATGGTGAAGCCAGAAAAAAAAGGAGCCTGATGGTAAGCTTGGTTGTGGACACAAGGGAAACATAAGTAGCAGGGGACTCTAGCAGCTGGAAATGCTGACAAGGAGCTGAAGGACCAGGGCTAGAGACGTAAATCTGGGGGAGGGACCCGCACAGAAACGACTGCAGAAGCCGGTGAACTTCTGAAGAATTCTGAGCAGCTGGAGCCGAGGGACAGAACTGAGGTCTGAGGAAATGACCTTCTGGAAAACAACCCAAAAAGCGAGAGGAAGGAGAGAGAGAACACAGAGAAGGAGCGACAAAAGAGACAGAAGGATAACTAGACGTGATGTCTCTGAAGGCAAAGGAAATAGGCAGACCGGTCAACGGCGGAGAATGCTAAAAAGAGGTCCAGCAAGCAGAGGAGTGAATACAGGTTATGGTCCATTAGGAGATGTCTGATGACCTTAGAGAGAAGACTCTCTAGGAACGGGGGAAGCCAGATCGCAAGGGGTTAAGAAAAATACGCAAGTTAAAAAGTAGCTGTATGGGGGAATAGACAATTTTCTCAAGAAGTTTGGTCATGAAAAGCTGGTAGTTGGGCTTAGGTTAGAAGAAAAAAGGTTTTTATTCTTTTTTTTTTTAATTGGGGAGATGTTTGCATGCAGAAGGGAGTTAATGGAAGAAGAAAGTAAAGATGCCAGAGAGGAGAAAGGAGGTGGAAGGGATTAGTATCAGTAAGGAAAAGGCTGGCTTTTCATCTGAGGAACGGAGAAGAAAACAGGAGTAAGGTTTCTGAGAAGTTCTGAAATGTGGACAAGGGGGAATTAGGGAACTCCTATCAGGTGACCTCAATCTTCTCAGGGAAGTTGGAGGCTGTCACCTCCTTTATTTGAGACAGTAAGACTGGAGGACAGCCTCCTGATGTTGGCCTGAGACTTAAGTCCCATAAGAGAAACCAAACTAATGGGGTTGACGTTTTCTTATTGAATTACCACCAAGTTAAAACATGAGAGAGAGTTCAATATTCAAACTGCTAAGTAATATTTGAAGCTGGGTAAAAAAACTGTGATCATCACTGCAAATAATATGAGATGGATATAGTTTTACTTTTTCTCCCAGCCACATCCTGAGACTAGGATAGGAAAGCTATAGTGGATACAAGCAAGGGTCTTTCAAGGTTCCAGCGAAGCCTGCCAGAAGGCCAGGGTAAGAAGGTTCCCATTCAGAGAGGGTCCAGAAGCCATAGATGGAGCCAGAGCCAGTGGCCAAGCACTGGCATGGTGAGCAAAGGGGCCAGAAGCAGAATGTGGTGTCTCCATCAGAAGCAAACATTCTTACCGGGATCAGAGTCCAGGGAACAAACAACAGATGTGATCTAAGGTCAAGCCAAAGTGCTCAGTACCAGGATGACAGGAACAGTTTGTGTTCCAGTTAGAGTCCATATAATTTGTAGGACTTAGGCCTTTTTTCCAGGGAGGGTGTCCTTTTCTGCCTTGCCCACCCTCTAAATTAGCAGCATCAGGAAGGGTCCTCAGTATCCCTTTATAAGGAAATGGCCATCTCTGAAACATGGCACACAATAAACCCCATAAGCAAGAAGGGTCATTATTGTTACTTTAAGCCTCACTGAAGGTATTTTTACACAAATTCGACGTATTCACCTTCTGGAACCTGTGTGTCCAAAAAACTTCAAATGTAGATCACATCTGAGTCACGCTGCTGAACCTAGATGAAAAACACATTTTTTTTCCCACTTTACATTAATCCTATGAACTAGAGCAGTTAACTGTTTGATTCAGTGTGCGTCTTCCCAACAGCTCCAATGTAATGGATTCACACCAGGCTTAAGTGGAGAAGTCATTAATTTATGTGAATTTTGAAATGCATTCTAGGTCATATATTACTTTGGGCAGGGAGAAGTTTTGAAAGAAGAAAACTGCATTCAGAATTAAATCTCGGCATATGGTCCTAAGCATGAGGCCTAAAGATTTTCTAATGATGGAAAATAACCCATGAGAAGCATTAAAACCTTGAACTCCATAACCACAGGGGGAGGGGCTGACTGAAATGATTTTTTCTCCATCTATGATTAGAACAGCTGAAGGATAGAGTGGACATATGAAGGAACCAAACTAACCATATACACTGGACAGTTTAATTAAGCATCTAAAAAGGTTCATCATATTGGTAGAAGCAAAATGGTGTACTACCTTTACAATGTTTTTGTGAGTTCCCATTCCGGTGTTATTAGAAACCAAGTTGTTTGTTCGAGAACACTTTTTTCCTGTCATACTGCAGCAGTTAGCGTTGATGCCTGCCCAGCTACGCAAAGCATTCAGTGGATAAGGCAGGAAGGGCCTCTGGAGATGTTCATCCTGTCTGCCTCGTGCTTCACACGTCTTACACAATGGCACCTTCAAAAGCAAAGAAGTACCCAAGTCAAAATGTAAGCCTACCGTAGCACTGCCCTCCCATGCTGAACTAATAATGTAGCTAAGTACACTTAAAAATTTCTTTCCAAAGGATAGCTCTGGGCCTCAGGGAAGGCAGGAGGGATCAATTTGAGAAAAAGGGTGACATGAAAGCAAAGGCTAACAATAAAAAATACTTTAAATGTATTTGTCTGACCAAGAAGATGATGGAAATTCTGTTGGAAAATATGACAAGGGATCATGAAATAAAAGAAACCAAAGTAACTTCAGACAGTGTGTTATAAAAACCTCCTTCCACAAAAGGGCAGAAAGAATAAAATGTGGCAAAAACCAAACATCACCATTAAAAAACAAAAAAGTTAACTTGACTGTATCTCACGAGGAAGGAAAGAGCTGACTGCAGAAGAATCATTTCTTTCCAAATCATCCGTCTGTGCACAGTCAAATCACTGACTGGTTGGAATAAAGATCATCAGATTAGAGGAAACAATAGAGAAAGAAGACATTGGGTGCAATTCCAGCAACGCCAGCACAACTTGATTAAACAAACTGTGGACTCCAGAAAAGGGGGAACTGGCCAAGGTAAAGCTGCTGATTCTTACCATCCACATTTCTCAGACCAGTTTGACTGAGGTAAAAGCAATCACCACAATGAAGGTAGAAGAGCCCTAGGAACACCCTCAGCCTGACAACCAGCCAACTGATCAACAAGCCGTCCTTGAGAGTCTGGGTGTTAGGGTGTGGGGGAACAAAGACAAGTATGAAACCATCCTGGCCCTCAAGGAGTTAACATCCCATAGGGGAGGAACCGTAGACTCCTTGCCAGGACACAGGACCCAAAGATTTTGCCAGCTTATTTAAAAACGATTAGTGCAGCCCACAGGTGTCAAAGGCCTGAAATCCTTCTACGTGGAGGCTGAAGCTGGCAGACCCTGGGGCTCAGAAGTTCTGAGCTGGTGTCCCCATCAAGTCTGGAATCCACACAGTAAGTCCCTTAGAGTAGGGAGTCAGAAATGGAACAAGCCAACGTTCCCCCACAATCAGCAGGGGGACTGGTTCCATGAGTGGCCAGAGTACTTCCAGGCTGGGTGAGATAGAGAGATCTAAAGTCTAAATAAAATAACTGAGGAAGATAACAGAAGATTATAAATAGCTCTGTGTCACAAAGCAGCAAAAAGCCACTGAGAGAAAACAAAACCTCTAAAGAACTTGCCTTAGAACCAGTTGAAACACGTTATGCCAGTACATCTGCTGCTGAAACTGGAAGGACAACAAACAGATGAGACGCAGAAGAGATCTGACGGCATTTTTACTGATCTGTTCTCATTGATACACTGGTGGTTAAAGGCTATTATCAGGGCCTAAGGGAAAGAGGGCATGTTCGAATCATTATTGAAACTGATAACAATAATGACTCACGTTGATATGGCACTTTAAGGACCACATGGCATTTTACATACTCTGGCTCACATGTGATCAACACAATAACCCTATAAAGTAGATGAGAGCTCTTAATAACCACATTTCATCAATGAGGAAACAGAGGCCCAAAGAAATTAGATCAAGGCCATCCAGGTAAGACCCATCTCTGGCTGGATGACAGCCTCCATCTTCCTGACTCTCCACCCCCTGTACCAAGACAGTAAGCAGAACACCTGGCAGGTCATCCAGGAAACTGTGCCAGCTCAGTGTGAACAACAAGCAGAAACTCAAGAACTCTGCAGCAGAGGCTGCCTAAGGAGACAGAGCAGAGGCTCAAGCCAGAGGGCCCCGCTGTCCATACTGTCCACACTGCTGTCCTTTAGTCAGGCTGGCCCCGCCCATGGGAAAGGCTTCTGTGAAGCATAAACAAATGGCAGGAGAAAAAGGAAGGCTCCCAGCTTGTGGCAGTCAGGAGTTTTTCCCATCTTCCTAGGTGGTGCTGGGTGTGGCTCTGGATGGTGTTTGTGTAATATCCATGTGCCCCTGAGGACCCTGTGTGTCCACCCCTGGTTGTGTCCTACAGGGCTTCAGAAATCAGTACCCAGAGGTCGCCCAGAAGGGATGTGAACAAACCCGGTTTGGACCTATAGATTCAGCTTCTCCTGATGGTGACCGCCCAGGGACGGTGTGTCTGTGGCAGGCTGTGATCTTTAGGAACAAGAAGGTGAGCTACTAGAATTGTAACATGAGAACCTGCCCAAGATGAAAAGACAGAGGCAAAGACACTGGGCTGTACCTAAAGGCTCACAAACAATGAAATTATATCAGCAGTAACAGGAGAGCTTCTGTCATCGTGTGAGGGCCAGAGCGGACACCTACATCCTAGACATCTTGACTAAGATGTCCTGTAGGCACCTCAAACTCATCGTGTCCGAAACAGAACTCATCATCTTTTCCCCCAAACCATCCCCTCTTCCTGCTAATCCAGCCTTAATCTCTCTCCCCGACACGCATCTCTAACTGCCTATTAGATACACCAAACTGGACATCCTTACACACCTTAAACTCACACGTTTGAAACTGACCTCATTATCCTCCCTGCTCCAAACTCCTAAGGGCACCACCACTGTCCACTCACCCAAGCTCGCAACCAAGGCACCATCCCTAACTCCTCTCTCACACTCACCCCACACAACTAATCAGTGCCAATCTTTTGTCATTTCACAACATGTCCCACCCATATCCTTTTCTCTCCCCTCCCATGGCCATCACCCTGGTACAGGTTCTTATCAACCCACACCTGGACGACTGTCACAGCTTTCTGGTCAGTCGCGTGGCCTACAGCCTCTCCCCACTCTTATCTATGCTCCCTTGGCCGCCAAAGTGATCTTCCTAAAGCCTGGTTCTGACCATGTCATCCCCCTACTCAATGAAGTCCAGTGGCTGCTCTCTCTTCCCTCCAGGATCAAACATGAGATCCTCTGGCTTTTCAATCCCTTCACAATCAGGCCCTTCCTACCTTTCCAGTCTTTTTACACTTTACTCTTCCACGTACTCTGTGACCCACAGACATGGCCTTCTTGCTACGTTTCATACATGACCCTCCTCATCTCCACCTCCCAGAATCTTTCTCTTCTTTCAAGACTCAGCTTGAAACTTTTCCTGATCCTTCCCAGCTCCTGTTCTCTCCCTCACATCTTCCTAGAATGGTCTGCCGGGATCTCTCCTTCGCCTCCAATACACTATACCCAGAAGCATATTCATCAGTATGCATATCATACTTCCTGCCCCAGGAGCACATCCGCTCAGTGAGGTCAGGGGCAGTGTCATCCCAGTACCTTGCACACAGTAGGTATTTAATAAATATACACAGAAGCTATTCCCATTATCAAACTTCATAATCCCATTTCCTCCAGAACGTAGCAGACAAATTATAACACACATCCAAGAACCAGAGGCTGTGAGCTCTGCTCCTGGCGCCGGAGCTACTTTGGGAGTGGAGAGGGGTCTGCCTTTCTGTGTTCTGTGTATTATGTGGATCACTTTTTCTGCTGATCTTAAAAAGGGATTGTGACAAAATCAGAAAGCCAGGAAACAAGTGCAGATTGGTTCTTTTCATTTATCATCCAGTAATAAGATTTCCCTGTAACATCCTGCGGGATTTTTAAAGTTTTAAAATATTTCCCAAGTCTTCCTAGACCTGGTTTCAAGTCCTGTCTCTTGACACATATGGACTGTGTGTCCCTGGGAAGAAGGAGACTTAACCTCTTAATTTCTTACTTTGGACATGAGTTTGAGATGCTTACAGGATACCCAGTAACTCCCTAAACTATAAATTATGGAACAGTCACTAATCTTCCTAAGAAAGGAAAGGTCCTTACACAAGTCAGAACTCAAAGAAGCTACTTGGAACAGGCTGCAGGGGAAACCAAGGGAAAGGAAGACAGAAGAGAAAAAGAGAAGGTCCGAAATAAGAAAAGGAGAGGTTGCTGGGGATAAGGAGAGGGGGCGAGTCACGACTGGGCTGAGGCAGCAGAGCCATACCTTCCTTAATCAACCACTTTTTGTATAGCGCATTATTGGTCTGCTTCTCCTTGCATACCTTTCTTAAGGTAAGGTCTAGTGATCCAAAGACTTCATTCCATTGAGAGATTGACCCCTTTTGTTTTTCCTCAAGTTTCAGGGCATGTATTTCAGACTTAAGTTGTTTTAATCGATCTTCAAAATTTTTACTCTTCTCCAAATAATCTAACCTGAAAAACACAGAAGGAAGGGCAGATGACCCAACAGTCATTCTCACTGACCACCCACGAGATCAATCATCAGGTCACTCCTAATCAACTAAACAGATAAATGAGACTTAGATTACATTTTTAATGATGTTATTTCACAAGTGACATTAGAATTTGGAGCTTGCGCTAATTCGTAAATGATGATTTCTGGCTATGGCATCTGGATTCAGATTAATGAATCACACCCAAGTGTATGGATTGTTTTTGTTTGTATTAATGTTTATTTTGTGTGAGTTTGCTATAGACAAAACGTACTTCCTTTCCGTGCCAAACTCCTTGATTCTGTGCCTATTCCTCCTCTCCTCTCTTGCTAATCCCCAGCTCTCTGGTTTCTGCTCTCATCACTAAACTCAAACTGCCCTCTCCTAAACTACCAGTGGTCTCTGGATGAACTGCCAAATCTAAGGCCTCTTTCTCAGGCCTCAGACTTCCTTAACCCTTCTGCAGCACCGGATCCTGGTGATCGCCCTCCTCCGGTATCCTCACTCCTCTCTGCACTGTTATAACATCTCCTCTCCCTGTCCCACCTCTTGACTGACTTGTCTCACTCTCCTTGGCTGATTCATCATCCACGTCCCACCCGTTAACTGTGAGTGGACCCAGGTTGTCTTGAGGTCTTTCTCTTTTCTCTCTATGCTCATCTGATATCCACATCAACTCCCAATTATCATCTCTAAGGAGATGACTCCCATTTTATCTGGCTGTCCCTCATGCCAGGAACACGCTCCCTCCTCTGCTGCCTACTGACCTCCCTGGCTTCCTTTATGTCTCAACTAAAATCCCACCTTCTACAGGAAGCCTTTTCCAGCCCCTCTTAATTCCAGGGCCTTCCTTCTTTTCATTATTTCCTACTTATCCTGCATATAGCTTGTTTTGTATGTGTTTGTTTGCATGTTGTTTCCGCTATTAAACTGCAAGCTCCTTGGAGGGCAGGGACTGTCTTTTGCCTCTTTTTGTATTTCAGTGCTTAGGACAGCGCCTGGCACATGGTAGGAGCTTAATAAATGCTAACTGAATTGAATGTTTATTGAATTGAATCTATATATTCAGACCCAATCTCTCCTGAGTTTCAGTCCCACAACACAAACTGCCTATTGGACATTTTTAACTGGGTGTCCTGTAAGCGTCTCAAACTCACGTCCAAAACAGAGCTCATTGCCTTTCCCCCGGGGGCAGGAGAAGTATCTACCATGGAGACTAGGCTAATTATTACTTAAAAGGCAGTACCAACTGCCCTCTGTTGCTGCAGATTCCCTGCGGCCCCAAGGAGGCAGGAGCGGCCTTTCATCGGGGCGAGTGGCAGGCAGCACAGCCAGTGCAGTCAGGGAAGCTGCCCTCACCTGGACTAGTTCTGTGTCCCGCTTCAGGCCCCTTCACATGCCACAGCCTCATCACCCCCTGTGCTGTTAGGGTGGCACGTGAATGTTCCAATTCAAAACCTGAAGCACTAGATCATGCCCAGCCTATAACACCTCCCCCACCCCCAAACCTGCCCGTCTTCCAACCATCCCCTATTTCTGCTGAGGGTACTACCATCCTGGCAGCTCCTTCCTCAACTCCTCACTCCCACTCCCCCCACAAAGTCTCACACCTGCCTCTTTCTCTCCACTTCCACATTCACCACCCTCACTTAGCCCCTCATCACCTCTGGCCTAGACCATTGCCACGGACTCCTCCTCGGTTTCCCTGCTTCGTTTCTCTCCCCATTAAAATCCATTCTCCACAGGCTACCAAAGGGATTGTCCTAAAGCACAAGCCTGATCATGTTACCCTCTCCAGTGGGTCCCCATTGCTTCCTGAATCAAGTACAAATTCCTCTGATTGACATTTAAATCTCTTCACAATGTGGCCACCTTCTTACCTGTCCAGTTGACTTCTAGTTAATCACTTTCCTTGCATGCAGAAATCCAGCCCCACTGGCAGATTTGCTGTTCTGCTCCCAGGGCACTCTTTCTGCCACTTCAGCACCTTGACTCAGGCCGTCCGGGATGCCTGGGCGCTCTCCCTCCTCCCTTCCACCTCTTGGCATCCCCATTTTCCTTCAAAACACAGCTCGGGAGCCACCTATCCATGAAGTCTTTCCAGATCCTCCCCTCCCAACACCTAGGAAGCACTATTTTCCACAACTACCAAGGATCAGCAGGGCACAGTAGACAGAGTATTGGGCCTGAAGGCCTCCAACACTTACTAGCTATGTAATTCTAGGCGAACCACTTAACCTCAACCTCAATTCTTCACCTGTGAAATGCAGGGGTCAGACTGGATGGCCCGGGGTCACTTTGAGCTCTGAATCTATGACCCTCTGTGTTCTTCTATGTGATGTGTCTTCCATCAGAACAGATGCCCCTTGAAGACAATGACTCTCTTCCTTTTTGTCTCTGAATCTCCAGCACTTAACCCAGAGCCTGGCATACAGCAGCCATATAATAAATGCTTGGGGATCGACTGACCAAAGTTTTCTACAGTGATAACTTGCCGATGTGAATTTTGCACTCCTCTGGTGAGTTTCCAGGCCTTCACTTCACTCAACTGAGGAAGCCATTCTCAAGGGCACTGACTATGTCAGAAGAAACAAGGGAAGAAGTCCTTCACAACAGTGATGCTGATCACAAAGCTTCTCGAAGTCTGTATTTCCCAGAATAATTCCCATTCTCTCCTTGGACAACACCTAGATTGCCTACCAGGGCAGCTAAGTAGTTCAGTGGATAGAGCACCAGGCCTGGAGTCAGGAAGACCTGAGTTCAATTCTGGCCTCAGACACTTATTAGCTGTGTGACCTTAGGCAAGTCACTTCACCCTGTCTGCCTCAGTTTCCTCATCTGTAAAATGAGCCAGAGAAGGAAATGGCAAACCACTACAGGATCTTTGCCAAGAAAACCCCAAATAGGTCACAAAGAGTAGGACACCACTGAAATGACTAAACAACAAATAAGATTTATCATGATTTAGTGAGCTCCCTACAGAGCTCCTGTGGAAGAGCTCTCATTTTTAGATTTTATCAGACACTTCTAGAACAAAGCAAAACAGGTACCACAGTTCAGTAACTAGAACTTTGTTATTCAAATATATATGCCAACTGACACTGACATCTGAACTCTCTCTCATCCTAAAGAATGAAGGTTAAATGTCAGGGGGAATGGTTTCAGATCCTCCACTCTTCTCCACTCTGCTGCCTTACACAAACACAAAGAGAAACAGGTCATCCAATCACAGAATCAAGATATACAAACCTAGAGGTTGAACACGAGGGTCAATGGGTAGGTCTTGGAGATTGGGAATCTATTCTGCCAAAATCTACAAAGCTCCTTGAAAGTTCAGGTAGCATCTCATTTTATATAAACATATGTGTGTTATACACATACATGTGTATGTGTGTGCATGTGTGTGTGTGTGTGTATAAAACACGTGTATTGTTTGTACGCGTATAAGTTTATATGTGTATATGTCAAACACCCAGAAATACACACACACACACACACACACACACGTATTTGCTAACTTGGATGCTCGGAGGCAGTACCTACCTCTCCCTTTCTATCTCCAAGGACAGTCTCTTCAGGTCGACATCCCTTAAATCAAACTTTGTACATCCTTTTTCAACTCCAAGGTCTCCACACACAACAGGGGAAGGTTGAGGATACCTGTTTGTGTGCTAGAAAAGAAGAAAAAGAGCTCTACTTTTCCGCCATCAGAGGAGTTTTATGCCCTTAGAGCTTTCAGTCTGAACACATCAGCTGCTTTAGAAACATCATTTCACTGCTTAGAAAGAGCTTCAATAAGGCATGGAGATATTTAGTGATTTTCCTAAGATCCTAGCATGAATCACTGGCAGAACTGGGGAAATTCACTGAGCCTAGAATCTCAAACTGGGCTGCGATCCACCAGCCAGCACTCTCCTCCTTTGTGAAATGAGAATGCGGAGAGTGGAGACTCAAGTTTCCCAGGGAGAATAAAATGGTGTTTTAAAGTGTGTCAACAGAATGAGCTCCTTAAGGACAAAAACGGCATCTTTGACTTTGCCCAGAGTGCTTGGGACGATGTGCAGAGAAGTGTCTCGAATGCAAGCTAAATGAATAAATGACACATCATTAAGGGCACCCAACACCTGTTATTTCTAAGTACCAGGCAAATTTGTGAAACGACTGTTTGAGGTGATGAAGCCTTCCCCAGCCCCTCTTAATTCCAGGACCTTCCTTCTTTTCATTATTTCCTACTGAGCCTGCATACAGCTTGCTTTGTATGTGTTTGTTTGCATGCTGTCTGCCCCATTAAATTGTAAGCTCCTTGAGGGCAGGGATTGTCTTTTGCCTCTTTTTGTATCCCAGCACTTAGCACAGTGCCTGGCACATAGTGGACAAGTAATAAATTTTATCGATTAACTGACATTTTCTTTCTCATTTGTATGATATGGCATTCCCTTGTGTTTTCAGCCTCTCATCATACACTGCTCCCCACCATCTCAGTAAAGGGCCGATGAGTCAACATACAGAGTGCGAGACTTGGGTGACGTCCAGGAGCCGCTGCTTTGCTCGGCGCTCGGCTTCTCTGGCCTCACTCAGGTCTTGTTTCAGGTATTCAGTTTCCTTGGTTCTGTTAGACAAAAGATCCCGCAGGTGAAGCAATGGACATGACCCAGTCTTTGCACTTTAGAGCTCTGTGTGCGCTATGGAAAGAGGCCATGCTTCCATCCCATAAAGGCTGCCAGTCAGAAGGCAGGAGGCATCTGAGCCCCCCATTCACACTTACAGGACTGTCTCCAAACAAAGTAAATGCATCCCTGACTTCCCAAGGCCTCCCTCCTTCATCCTCAGGGGGCCCTTCAGTCTCTAATTATCCCACCCTCATCCATTCCCCAGGACTGTGCTCACCCAAAGATCTAACAGACCCATCCTGTCTCTTCTAATCAGTTGTAGACCACTGAACCTTTCTGAAAATACCAATATTTTAATGAACTCGTCTTTAAAATTTTATAAAATCATATTAAAATACTAAATTATATCAATATTTCAAATGAAAATATACTAGCCATGACAGTTAATAAAAATCATAGAACTTTAGTGCAACAAGGAACTTCAAAGGTCATACAGACCCACAAACACACTTGACATACTAGGAAACTGAGGCCCCGAGATGTGAAACAACTTACCCAATGTCAAGTAGGTGGTAGTAAGTGGCAGATCCAGGATTTGGACCCAGATCTTCTAACTGCAAATCCATAAATCCACGCTTTCCACAATGCCATACTGAGTAACAACAGGGGTTGTCCTAGCCAGTTAGACTGTGACCAAGACCATGATTTTAATCTTTACATCAGTCAGCATTATACACACAAGAGGCTCCCTCAGTCCCTTCAACCAAAAGCTATACCTATAATGCTAAACAGACAGCCCTCCAATAATGCCATTGGCCAGAAGGGGGACTGCTCAGCCCCTTCCTGAAAACCCAAGCGCTGTCTTCCCAAGAGGAGAACGGTAACATTAGTGCCACTCTTTTGAGTCAATCAAGCACCTCACTCCACTTAAATTAAATGCCTGATCAGGACCCCCGGTAAATCAGTCAACCAAAGGCTTGGTTTTTCACTGGGCGTGAAAAGTCCTTAATCTGGAAGGCATCAAAGTCACCGGATGAGACACAGGAAGTATGGAGGAAGCTACATGCAAAGTATTCTGGAATTGGCTGAAGAGATCTTCAGTCATACCCTATGGATAATTCACAGAATTGCAATCCAGTTAAGAACCCAGACATTCAAGCAGCAGACCACAGTATAGTAAAGAGTAGCCCAGTCAGGTCTCTGAGAGGAAATCCCCGAGAGGGCAAGAAGAGCCTCTGGCTCTCCCCACCTTGACCAGAGGAAGATGTTGCAAACCCCAAATGGTGTGGAAGAGGTGGACCTTGCACCATCATCCCAGCAGCAGCCCCAGAACAGCAGTAGTTTATGGCAGTGTCTCCATCAGAAATTGAGGATAAATTAAACCCACTGGGTACAGGCAGCAAGACTCTACAAGAGCCCTGACCCTCAGGCCTAGCAGATAACTATACCACGCATAAGGGGATCTTCATGAGGTCCCCAGAAATTGGACAGAAAGGACTTCCAGGAGCTATGATTTTTAACCCCTTAGTCACACATGTTCTTTCACCTGGACTCCACATGTACCTGTGGGAGAACATGCCCCTTGTTTGAGTAAATAATTTGTACAAATTCTTCTTCCTTTATTACTTTAGTAAATACCCATTTCTAAAAAGATAATTAAGTTTGGCTGGCTATTTTCTATCAATGGATAATCCATGATGGTAGTACACCAATGGGGGCTCATGAGCTATAGTAGCAGAAAACCACTGCCACCGCCCCCATCCCTGCCAAGCTCTCAGGCTGACCCCTAGAACCCAGAAGTGGCCACACTCTGGCAACCCAACCTTCTGGAGCTTGTGGGAGCCAGGAGGGTGAGCCCCAGAACATATGCTATGTGGTTTTTATCAGTACGTTACAAAACTTTTTGCAAATATTAATTTGGCCAACTTTCTAAGGCCAAGATGAGTTGAAACAGGCACTTTCTGGCTAGTGTAGTGTATCCGAGCCAGCCAAAAAGCCCTGTAGAAGGAGTTCTTGTGCTTCTATACCTACCTCCTGTGGCTCTTAGTGTGCTATATGGGAAAGCCTTCTGGACATGGAGTGAGAGGAAACTGAATCCGAATCCTGCCTCGGACACTTGCCGATGTGTGACCACAGGCAAGTCTCTGAGACTTCCTGGGCCCCAGTGTCTTCATCTGCCAAACAGAGTTAGTGACACCGACTACCCAGTGCTGTCAAGACGATGAAATGAGAGCACATGTAGAATGTGCTTTGAAACTTTCACACGCTATAAAAAATGTCAGTGACTGTGATGTTAGGCCCCGGGGCTGAGGCCGCCCCCACCTCGGCCAGAAATCAAATCCCAGCTGGGCCAAGAGAACGTTTCCCTGAATGAAAGGCAGACTTTCAGCTTCCTACATGGCCCATCTCCCTCACCTCAGATCTGATTCCTTGACCAGTCTGGCAGCGATCCTTTCTGCTTCCCTCACTTTCTGCTCCATCAGACGTTTCTCTTCCTTGGTTTTCAGGGCCGTGATCTCCAGCCGCTGGCGCTCCTGCTCAGCCTCCGCGGCATTCTGGGCAAGCAGCTTGGCTTCCTCCTCAGCAATCTGCGCCTTCTCGGCCAGCAGCTCCGCTGTCTCTTTGGAGTGGAGCTGGGGAAGCATTGCACTGGCCTCACCACCCGGAAGGGCTCAGGCCAAAGGATAAAGCAACAACAACATGGCAGATCACAGGGGAAGGCTGAACCAGGCAGGCTTTCTCAACCATGGGCAGGTAACTTTCAAAGCCAGACAAGTTGAGGCCCCTCAGTGTTGAATTTCCTATAAAATGATGGGAAAGAATGACCTGGCAACACACATGCTTCACAGGAATACTCACTAAGGCCTCACTGGCTTGTCGGGCCTCGGCTTCCAGCTGAAACAGCCGCCTTTCCAGTTCATCTTTGGCTCTCTCGGCCTCTTCTCTAAGCTGCTTCTCCCTGGCCAACCTCTGATGCTCCATCTGGAAAAGAAATGAAGGGAGATGTGCCATCTTCAGATTCATGTCCACGTCTATCTCCCCACACCTTTATTCCTGGAATGGAACTAGTCTGAAAAAAGAAAACTGAATTAGAGCTCACCTTGGGGGAAAAAAAAGCAACTCTGTTTGGGCTTGGTGGATTTTGTAAGCTGTCTGCCATGACTGCACATGTGTGTGCCTACAATTAAGAACCTGATGGGTACATTTTGAACAGTGATGAAATCAGCAGACAGGATGGGAAAAGAACACACTTCCTACCCTGAGAGCTGAAAGCCTGAGACAGCATTTGGGAAACTCGCCACATGGGCATCCTCACTCAAACTCCGCCAACCCTTCGGTCACACTGTAGCCCCGATGTTCTCAGGCCATTTCTTTTGGCCAAAGGCCACTTCAAGTCTTATTGAGCAATGACAGGTGATAGGGTGAGGGTCAGGGTGAGCTGCAGGTTAGACACGTTTCTGGAGATGGAAAGAGTTAACATTTCAGGGATAATCTCGTGAAAAGACTCATCCCATCTCCCCAAGGTAACCTCTAGAGGAGCAGCCATCAGAGGTGAAACCCACACTTTTTTTTTTTTTTTTTTTTTGGCAATTGGGGTTAAGTGACTTGCCCAGGGTCACATAGCTAGTGAGTGTGTTAAGTGTTTGGTCTGAGGCCAGATTTGAACTCAGGTCCTCCTGACTTCAGGGCCAGTGCTTCATCTACTGCGCCACTTAGCTGCCCCTGAAACCCACACTTCTAACCATGAAAAACGCAACCCACTTTCTTCCGAGCTTTCTCTTCCTTGGCTTGAGCTTTCATTTGCTGAATCTCAATGGAGTCTGCTCTTCTCCTCTTCATGAATAGGTCATGATTTCCAACACACAACTGAAGGATCTACCAAAACAAGAGGTTCCACTGATTCACTGGTTTGCAAGTGTTCTCCACTCCACCTGGACCGTTCAGCAGCAGCCCAATTGATCCCCTGCCTCTTCAGCTCCTCCTCCACCTAGCTGCCATGCTGGTATTCTGAAAGCACGGGTCCTTCGCCCTTGACAACCCTTCGGCCTCTCTAAACCCACTGCCCGTCACTCTCCTTTGGGCGCTCTCCATACCGGCCACACTGGTCTACTTGCTATGCCCCATCCCCATTTCATCTCCCATTTCCATGACTTTGCCCAGGCTATATCCCATGCCTAGACATAGTCCCTCCTTACCTCTGCCTCGTGGAATCAGACTCAGATGAACCTGGGACCATAAATCTAGAGCTGAAAGAGGCCCTAGAGGACCCCACCCCCTACCCTCCCCTGTCCCTGCACCCACAAAGGCCACCTAGTCTGAAACCGGCTTCAGTCAAGGCTCACCTCAAGGAGCAGCTCCTACACTGATTCTACCTCCTCCTCCTATTGCAAATGCCTCCCCATCCCCACCCCTGGAAATTAGTCTCTATTTTCTACTTACTTCTCATTGTTCACAGCATTTTCCCCCAACAGACTGTTAGCTCATTGAGGGCGGAAATTCTTTCACTTTTTGTCTCTGTATCCCTTGCCTGGCCAAAGTAGGCACTTAAATATTTCCTAAAAGAATGTTCTGAAATCCATAGGAAGAAACTGTAGCCAGTTGGCCATTTCCCATTATCTCATAATCCAACACCGGACAACATCCCTTGCACTCACAGGCTTCTGCTCCAACTCACTCCCTATGTGGTCAGTGGGAAGGTGACCAGCTGTGTTCTCCCCCAGACATCTATTTCTTCCTTCATTCTCTTCTGCCCTCCACCTTTTCAGCCTCATGCTCTCCCACCTAAGACCTCCATCACAACTTAATACTTCATACATTGCTGCCGTGCCCAAGGCACAACCAGCCCAAAGCTTTTCAAGGTCATCATGGATACAATTACTTTTCTTTCTTTCTCTTTTTTTCCCCCCAGACACTAGATCTCCCCATCTGACCTAGGCTGGAAGGTCAGCAACCAGGTTGGTCCTACTGCTAATTAGCAAGGTTCAACCCGCCCAGTTCTGACCTGGGCTGGTTCATCCCTCCTTGCGCGGGTAGGCAGCCTGGTGGCCCCTTTCTCCTGGAGGCTCACCACACTGGCATCACACTTAGTGGTACCCCCACTCAGCGTTAGCCCTAGTATGGCTCAGAACCCCTAAGCTCAAACAAGCTACCATCCTCAGCCTCTCTGCTAGCAATGATGACAGGCACGTGCGTCAGCACTCAGTGGCACAACATCTTGTTAAAACTGTGCTGGGGCAACCATGAATGTTGCTGAATTGATCTCGCAGTTTGGGAACAGGCTGGTTTAAACATGATGCCCCAACAAGCTACTGCTCCTGAAGGTCTCCAGTGCTTTTTAAACTCCATGTCCCTAAGCCCTATAAGCAAAAAATTATTGTTTATCTTTTCACAGACAGAGAAACCATGGTTAAACCAGGGGAGAGAGGCAGGATTCCATTTGCAGCCTAGAATCTGGACAGAAGGGTTTGGTCCTTGGACTGAATTGATTTGTTTTGTTGACTCTTAGGGCTCTCTAAGCACACCATTATGAAAGAGGGATTTTGTTTCTTCTTTGCCTGTGCTTACACCTTCCATGTCTTCTTCTCGCCCTACTGCTACAAAGAACATTCCTCGAACTACATCAATAACAGACCTCCTTCACCCCATCAGCTTGTTGGGTTTTTTTCTTTTCTAAATGGGGTAACTGACAGAAGATTTAAATGGGGAAACTGCTTACCAACTTATTCACCTTCAGCTGTGAGGAAAAGAACTTGAAAACTTCTGCCTTTTTGTCAAGAGGTTTAATTGTTAACTGGTGGAGAGAGGAAAACATGGTCAATAAGAAGCTGAAGAGGTCCTCAGAATGTTGGAGCTCTCTGTGGGACAATACCGACCAGGGGACTCCAAGAGGAGGGGTGGCGGAGGCTCATGGCCCCATGACAAGAGAGTTACCAGGCACATCTGGCCTGGTGGGTGCCCTTCCACATCAGCTACCGAGGGTATGGCCTAGGTGCACCTCGCATCAGGAGCCAAAAGTGTTGACACGAACTCCACATTGTGGGGAGCAACACCATGTTCCCACTCACTAGCGTCATCTGATTTTAGCCACACAAACAACCCAGTAGGCTCACAGCCAGAACCAGAGGAGGAAGTGAATATAAGCAGAAGAGACACAAAAGATGGAATTCAGCCATATCTGGTCTGAGAAGTTCATTCACTCATTCCCCAAATACTGGGGGCTACTACAGCGTGTGGCGCTGGGAAGTGCAGTTCCACATTTGGTTTTCCACGCTTCATTTGGTTAGGTTGAGAATTGAGATTAATGCAGAGACAGTGGGGAGATTCAGAAACAGCAAGCTGACCCGAGAGCCCCACCATAAGGGAATTTCCTAGCAATTGGCGAGATATATGCAATGGTGTGCTGGTGAATGTTTAACAACCAGCTTGGGGGTACATGGGACACATTTTCTCCATTACCTCCTTCAGTCCAGACAATCACCAAACACCAACCAAGCCCTGATTTGCCGTGTCTGAAAATGTAACCACTTGCTCTCTTGAGCCTGCTGGGACAGGCCCCAGTCCACCCCTCGGATCTAGGGAACTTGGCTCCCAGCTTTGAGCAGGTTTTCCCTCAGGCCATTTCCCTCCTGCCATGCAATGTTCGAGCTTAAAGAACACAGTCTCCACTTCCTCTGTTCACTGTGATCAGTGCCCTTGGCTCCTAACCCCTAGTTCTGACTCATGAAGCCAAGTGGGTCTTTGTAAATCTGCCTCCTGTTACCAAATCTCCATTCAAGCCTTCTGATGGGAAACATGTCAAAGAAAGGCTTACAACTTGCCAAGCTGGCAGCACAAGCAGAGTGTGATCATCAATCTTGTCTCAGAGATGGGGCAGCAGAGGCTGGGGTCCCTTCGGAAGCTCCATGTCTTTCCTTAGGTTATTTTCCCTCCCTTTTTTTTTTTTTTTTGCATGCCCCTCTAAATAAGAATGACTAATTTTCTCTCCTCCCAGGGCCCAAACAGGCTGCCACACTGTCACAAAGCATGAAAGGTCCAGCCTTCCCCACTCACCTCCTTCTCACTGTAGGAAATGTTTCTGATTGCGCTCCATTCAAAAGATTTATTTGGAGAGAACCGATTATTTATGCTGTAGACATGGATCCCTTTAGCATCTACACCAAGCAAGAGATCTGTGTGGCTTTTATTTTGCTGCAAAACAACCAAATGCAGAGCGAAAGGGTTAAAAAGACAATCTGCTAAAGTAAAGAAATCAAACATTAGAGTGACTTCTGATTTACCCAGCATCCATCTTGTCTGTAGATGGCAGTTTGTATGGTCCCTTCCCCGTCAGAATGTAAGCTCTTTGACAGCACCTCACGCCTATGGGATTGACTAAAGTGACAGCGATGCATTGCTGGTGGAGCTGTGAACTGGTCCAACCACTCTGGACAATAATTTGGAATTTTTATAGCCAAAGGGTTATAATACTGTGCCAACCTTTGAGCCAGCAATATCACTCCAACGTCTGCGCCCCAAAGAAATCAAAGAAACTGGAAAAGGACCTATTTGTACAAAAATATTTATAGCAGCTCTTTTTGTGGTGGAAAAGAATAGAAAATTGAAGGGATGCCCATGAATTGGGGAATGGCCGAACAAATTGTGGTATATGATTGTAATGGAGTACTACTGTGCTATAAGAAATAACAAGCAAGATGGTTTCAGAAAAACCTGGGAAGGCTTACACGAACTGATGTAAAGTGAAGTGAGAAGAACATTGTGCACAGTAACAGCAATATTGTAAGTATGGTCACCTGTGAAACACTTAGCTACTCTGATCAAGACAATGCCAAAGGACCCATGATGAAAAATGCCATCTACCCCCAGAGAGACAAGTGATGAACTCTCAGTGCAGACTGAAGCATATTATTTTTCCTTATTTAGCTTTCTTTTTTTATAACACGGCTAAAGTAGAAATATGTTTTGCATGACTTCCTATGTATAATCGATATCATTATCTCTTGCTTTCTCAATGGATGGAGGAGGGAGCGGAAGGAGGGAGAGAACTTGAAATTTAAAATAAACATTTAAATTTTTTAAAAATAATGTGGTGGGAGGGAGTTTTTTGGCCTTTTTCTGTACCTCCAGGCTTTAGCACAATGCCTGGCACTTAGTAGGTGCTTAATAACTGATTATGGACTTGTTGATTCTGATATTACTTCCAATTTACCCTGTATATCTCTTGTAAGTACATCATTTTTACATGTTGTCTCTCCCATTAGAAGCGAACTTCTTGAGGGCAGGGATCGTTTTAGTCTGTCTTTGTATCCCCAGAGCTTAACCCAGTGCCTGGCACACTGTTGTCATTCTCGTTCAGTCATTTTTCAGTCATGTCTGACTCTTCGTGACCCCACTGGGGGTTTTCTTGGCAAAGATACTGGAGTGCTTTGCTGTTTCCTCCTCCATCTCATTTGACAGATGAGGAAACTGAGGGCAAACAGGGTTAAGTGATTTGCCCAAGGTCACATAACTACTAACTGTCTGAGGCCAGATTTGAACTCGGGAAGCTGAGACTTCTTGACTCCAGGCCTGGCCCTCTGTCCACTGCGCCACCTAGCTTCCCGCCTGGCACACAGCAGGTGCTAAATAAATGATTGTTGACTTACTTGCATGCATTCAACAACGATATTCCTACAGCAGAAGGTGAGGTTTCTAAAACTCTGCATGTGCCCCTGATCTCTCCCTTCTTCTATATGAAGCTCCAAGGAGAACAAAACAGCTCGCATGCTGGCGCCCTGAAGCAGTACCCGCCGAGACTAAAACTGGGTAGGAAGTGAGCCAGCCTACTGGTATACTGGAGCTGCCCTGGCATGTCAGACATAACTGTAGGGGCGGATGCCAGGGAAAATGTTAACAGGTTCACAAGCCAGAGAATCAGGAGCCAAACTGTTACTGATCCCTGAAATCAAAAGGCTGAACAACTTCAAAGCACGGTCTGTTAGACAAGGAGAAGCATTGTGAAGGTTCAGCTCGACTGAAACATTTCTGGGTTAATAACACATCCTTTCATTCAAGGCGAATGTTCCCTTAACAAACACCGGTTAATGTTCCCATCTCTCCCTGAGACCCTGGAGCGACGTGGAATAACCCTGAATGCCAGTGTGGGCAGAGGCCATCCCTTGGGGCTGGTGTCTCCTCCGGAGCAAGAGACATGAGGCCAGGCCATTGAACCGCCACATCCAAAGAAAAGAAGTCCTGGGCAAAGCAAGGAGGGCACTGAATAAGGAGTCACAAGACCTGGGCTCCAGCCCTGTTCTGGGTGACCTTGGAGGAGTCATTTAAGCTTTCTGAAGACCCGTATCTCCTTCCTTAAATGATCATAATCCTATCTGCCCAGTCTCCCTACCTCACAGTGTGTTTAGAAGGATTAATCAAAATACCACACCTGAAAGAATCTGAAAGACACAATGTACTATGTCAACACAAGGTGGTACTAGTGGAAGTAGTGGTAATAATGATGGTTGTAGTAGCAGCAGTAACAGTAGTGGTAGTGATAGTAGTGATGGTAGTAGTGATGGTGGTGGTGGTGGTGGTAGCAATAGTGGTAGTGATGGTAGTACTAGTGGTAGTAATAATGGTAGCAGTAGTAGTAGTAATAGTAGCATTAATAGTAGTCTTAGTAATAGCAGTAGTAATAGTAGTAGTAGTAGTAGTGGTGGTGGTGGTAGTGGTAGTAGTAGTAACAGTAGTAATAGTAGTAGTAATAATGGTAGCAGTAGTAGTAGTAATAGTAGCATTAATAGTAGTCTTAGTAATAGTAGTAGTAGTAGTAGTAGTAGAATAGTAGTGGTGGTGGTGGTGGTGGTGGTGGTGGTAGTAGTGGTAGTAGCAGTAGTAGTCCTCAGCTTTATTCAAGGCTTTTGAGCCTTGAGTCAACTCCTACAAGGAATCTTTCAGTTCCTTTCCATTCAACAAGCATTTATTAAGCACCTACTATATACCAGGCACAAGGCTAGACTCTAAGGATATTAAGATAAAAACCAAAAAGTCTCCTGACCTCAAGGAGTTTACATTCTGCTGAGAGGAATTAATGTGTGCAGAAGTATAAGAAAATGCAAACTATACACAAACTAATGACAAAGTAATTTCAGGGGGAACACTAACAACAACTACTCTGTTAGGAGGTGGTCTTTGAGTTGAACCCAACAAAGAGAAGAAAGTGAGTTAAAGACATGTAGGCAGGAGATGGAGTGTGTGGTCAATCAGGGATGTCCAACACACACCCAAACCAGATTGAAAGGTAATTGGGACATATGAAAACAAATAAAAATAGAATCAAACATAAATAATACTATATTTTAAAGCTAGGTCTATCAGCAGCCAGCAGAGATCCTCATGTCCAGATTTATGGCCCCACTTCTATATGTGTTTGACATCACTGGTGTGAAGGGAACATGTCGGATGCCAGTTTGCTGGGAGTGTCCAGTGCGTGAGGGAAAGTCCTACCAAGTCCATCCAGGAAAGACATCCTAAGGGCAGATTATACAGGGCTTTCATGACAAAAAGAGGAACTTGTATCTTCACCTCAAGGCACTGATGAGGCCCTGGAGTTTCTTGAGCAGGTAAGGGCCTATGCTTGAGGAACATCCTGGTGGGGGCCATGTGGAGGGTGGATTAGAGAGGAAAGATAACCAATTAGCATGCTGTTGTGATGAGTCCACTTGAGAGGGGATGATAGTCTGAATTAGGGTGATAGTCAAGTAAGAGGGGGAAAGAGGACAGACATGAGACCTATTGTGGAGGTAGAATCAACAAGATTTGACGAACGATTGGAACTGGGAACGAGAGAAGAATGAAGGATGATTCCGAGGCTACAAACCTACATCCCTGAGAATGGTGAACCCTCAATAGGGAAGTCAGGAAGAGGAGTGGGTTTAGGGAGAAACATTGAATTCTGTTTTGGACGTGTAGAGCATGAGACGTCTATGAGACATCCAGTTGGCAAGATCCAGAGGTGGTCAATGATGTGGAACTAGAGATCAGGAGAGAGATGAGATCTGAATAGGTAGACCTGGGAGTAACTTTCAGAGAGACCCACAGGGGCTGATGAAATAAATGAAAGAGAACGTGGAGAGAGGAAGGCAGATCCAAAAAGTGCTACAGCATCCCTACACAAAAGAGGCAAACACAGAGGATGACCCTGCAAAGGAGACTGAGAAGGCTTAGTCATACAAGAAGGAAAACCAAGAGAGAGCAGAAGCATGAACACTCAAGAAAGAGGAGAATGGGGTAGTCACCAGCATCGAAGTCTTCAGAGAAGCCTAGGTTCACTTTGTTCTCATCTCTGTGTGTACTCATCTGTGTACCTGTCATTTACCTCCAGTAGAATGTAAGCTCCTTGAGGGCAGGGACTGTTTTCATTTTTGTCTTTGGATCTCCAGTGCTGCCCAACACAGTGGCTGGCACATAGTAAGGAGGTAATAAGTGCTTGTGGGATTGAACTGAATTAAATTATAATAAAGTCATTTCAGACTATTTAGCGACTTCATCATGGTTATGTACAGCAACTCTACTCACACAATCCAAACCAGACCCAATTTAGACTAAAAGAAGAATGATCACCAACTGAGTGATCATTAATAATTTATAACAATGATAATAATAATAATATATAATCATATATGATAATAATAATAGCCAACATTTTTACAATTTTTTTGTAATACAAATTTGTAATACAAATATTACAAAAAGCCAGTTTTTACAAATATTTTCTTCTCAATAACCCTAGAAGGTAGGATTTTTTCCCCATTTTACAGATGAAGAAACTGAAACAGATCCTCAAGTGTGGGCCTTTGACTGAATCCAAACCTCACAGAACAAATCCCCTTACTAAAAAGGATTTGCTCTTTAAAACTTGGAATCAGTTAAAAGGCTGCACCCGAAGACCTAGAAGGCCACATGTGGCCTCAAGGCCACAGGTTCCCCACTCCTGGAGCAGCTTAGTGGGGAGATGGGGATCAGTCAAGGTAGGCATGAAGAATAAAGCATCCTTTCACTAACTTTCCTCCCCACAAACAAAATGAAATCTTGTACCCCATGAATTCTCTGTGGCCTCACTGGTGGCACACTCCAGCCAACAGTGATGACTAAAAACTCCTCGGTCAAAGTGGCTGCTAGTGAAGAAGCCGCTTCCCTGGCAGGCAGCTTTCCTGTAATGAGCCTCTCTGCATTTCATTAGGCAGGACCTTGGATGGCAGCCATAATTAGCTAATCACTGGACTCCTCTTCAGAGCCTTCCCAATTCAGCCGAACTTGCCAGAGCTTGCAGACCTATGGCACAGGCTTTGGGAATGCAGGACCACCTTGATGCTGTGTTAAGGAGGAGGACTTTCAGAGAAAAACTGAAAGTCTTAACTAAACTAAGAAAATTCCTTCAAAGAAAGTCCCACACTAGTCCTGGGTCTCTGCCTCTATTCATGTTTATACAATTTTCTTTCAGTTACTAACTCAGGTTACAACAGTGGCTAGTGTCATATGCCCTACACCATTAATAAAGTCTCAGATAAGACCCTTAAATGGATTTCCATGAATACAAGTCTCTTCTCCAGCTAGTTTTTTGTTTTTTTTTTCTGGATTCAGGGTTAGAAAGTATAATATAGACCAGATCTTTATAGCTTTTATAGAAAATTACTCTAGTCAACTTATTCAGGCTGAGAGTTTCAGGGATCCCAAGACCTGAAACTTGGTTATCTAATGTGTTCTCAGGGCAGCTGACATTCTATAGCATGGAAAAGGGTCTGTAAACGAAAAAGGGACAGTAATCTGGAAAACACCTCCAAATGTGTTTCACTGGCAATCCCAAAACAACCCTGAAAAAAAAACAGCTTTTATGAAATGGCTGGAAACTGAAGATAATGGCCTGACCTATTTAAGAGCAAATTTTACTCACTTCAATGGAGAAGTAATTGACACCATACATCGCCAAATCTTGGGCAATTTTCAGATAGTTCATCTCAGCTTCATCCCTGGGAAACAAATACAAAGTTCAGGAAAAATCTAAGATAGGAAGATATTACTTCTATCATCTTATTTCAAAAACCTACCCTTTTATACTACCTCAATTTAGTCATATTTTTAATTCAGTCAGTTTCTAATTAGTCTGAGTGGTGTTTTAAAAAAAGTAAATACAACTTGTTGTTACATCTTTTGTCTGCCATAATTACAGATAAAGGGAATCTAGTATCTTATTTCTGAAGAGCAGCAAGGAGCTCTGGGCTTGGAGTCAGGGAATTTGGTTTCAAACCCTGTCTCTACCACTTCCTACTTCTCTGTGATCCCAGGCAAGTCACTCAGTTTCTGGGTAGGCCTCAATTTCCTCATCTGTAAAACAAGGGAGTTAGACTCTGACTGCTGAAGTCCCTTCCTGCTCAAAAGCTACAACACTATATCAACATAAGGTTTACAAAGTGTCTTCCTTGGAGCACTGGGCTTGGAGTCCAGAAACCTGGGTTCACATCCCACCTTAAATACTAGCTGTGGTGACCACTGGCAAGTCATTTAGCCTTCTGGTGCCTCAGTTTCCTCATTCGTAAAAAGAGTACTGTGGACTAAGTGCCCTTCAATGTTGCTTCCATCTCTAAATCTATGATCCTATAAATCTGAGAGGAAAAGGAAGGATAGTTAGCACAAGCATTGTTACTCCCGTTTTAATTACCAATTGAGATCTGGAAAAGTAAATTACATGGTCAGGGTCATATAGCTGATAAGCACCAAGCTGAGGATTCCAATTCTATCTCTCCTCACTTCAGGTCCAGCCTACTTTCCCCAGCATCAGCCAGGCAGCTTCCCATGTCTCTGCCAGAAGAGAGACTGGCAAAATACTTTTTCTATAGTATTCAATAAATGCTGGTTGATTCATCGACTCTAGAGAAAAGGCACAACAAATCCCTGCTTTGTATAAATACTCAAGGAGGCTGAATCCCATCAGTAACAAAAGAACCCTCTTCTCAAGGAAGGATTCACAAGGACAGCATGTTGCTCCATTTCAGAAACCACAGAAGAGAAATATCAGTAATATTAATACAATTTGCTATTTGATGGTTTCGTATAGATGTGTCTGGTTTTCCTAACTAGACCCATAAAGGACAAGGAAAATGTCTTACATTTCTTTGGTACCTCTCCCAATTTCTAGCACAGTCCTGGACACAGAGCAAGCATACAATAAAGACTAGTTGAATGACTGAACAGATGGATGGATGGATGGATGGATGGATAAACAGACAGATGGCTGGACGGAAGAATGAGTGAGAATGAATAAATCTTAACTAAAATAATTGACAATTGACAATAATTTCTGATGAATTTGTTTCTCCAGTCCTCAGGAGGAAGCATTCCCCACCTCCAGGAGAAAGAGCCACCTCCTCTAAACCCCTCCAACATTCTCTCCCAGATCCTTTTCCAACATCCAGCAAATTCTGCAAGTTTTCACTAAATCCTTCCATGCGGCTCTTAGCGCCAGTAAGAAACAGAGCAGACACACCGGTACAGGAGGTGCGTGTACACGGGCTGGCTCTCCTCCTTGGGACGTTCCCCCAGCCACACCTTACACAGGTTTATTCAGGAGAGAGTGTGACTGAACAAGGGTAACACAGCCAGCTTCACTAGGAAAACTTTTATTTCCCAACCCACCGCCTACCCCCACACCTCCTCCCCACCCCACGGCTTTCTCCCATGATGGAGATTTGGAATCCTTGTCCCTTAACTTTACCCTATAAATACTCTTTCTCAGGTACCACGAGCGCTTCCCAAGAACAGAGAGGTGACATGATGTAGTAGATAGAGAGCTAGACTCAAAATCAGGAAAATCCTGCCACTTACACGTACTAGCTGAGTGAATAACTGGGCAAGTTCCTTTACCTTCTGCCTCTCAGTTTTCTCATCTATAAAATGGGGATAATAATACTTGAATTACCTACTTATGGCTCAAGTGAGCTTATGTAATACAGATTATAAAACTTAAAATGTTATACAGATTATGATTTAATTCGGATATTACATTCTAATTCCTAAAATTGTGAGCAGGGAGATCTTGTCCTTTTTGCTTTGGTCATGGGGCATGGGAGGCATCACACCAGAGAGCATACGGGTTTTGTTAAATGCCCATGCTGCTAGTCTTTCTGAGCACACCAATACTTGCTCTTGGAATGAGTCACTCAGGAGGTCTGTCAGTCGAGGGAAGGTAAGCCCCGGGGACCAATGTAAACATGAGTCACCTCCAACTATGCTGACCCTCCAGAAGAAGGTGAAATTCTGTCTTCCTCCTTCTCTGCCCAGCTAAGAAGATGCTATCATCTTCCCTGAGCATTCTCAACACAAGGAATCCTCGATAAAACACTAGGTGCGATGACACGAGATGTGGCAGGAGCTAAGGGGGTCCCGAGCCTGAGCAGGGTGGTTGAGAGTCCTGGACTCAAAATGAAAAGAGACCTGGGCTCTTCTTAGCCCTCCCAACACTAGTGTTTGACAATGAGCAAGTGACTCTCTGAGTTTCACTCCTGGTGAATCCTACAGATGCCTGTAGTTCTAACCTCACAATACTATTGTAGGACCAAAAAGGAAGCCACAAGCAAACCTCTCTCTGCTAAGCATCATGTCACTTATCATTAATAATAATATACAATAAATAATAATAGCAACAGCTAGCATTTATACATGCAAATCACCTTATATATGTTCTCTCACGAAGAAGGGGTCCTCTCAGGGCTCTTAAAAACCCTGATGGGGGCAGCTAGGTGGCTCAGTGGATACAGCACTGGCCTTGAAGTCAGGAGGACCTGAGTTCAAATCCGACCTCAGACCAAACACTTGACACTTACTAGCTGTGTGACCTTGGGCAAGTCACTTAACCCCAACTGCCTAAAAAAAAAAAAAAAAAAAAACAACCCTGATGACAGTATTTTAGTGAGGATCCAGAATAATTACATTTTGTAAACCTGGCAACCAATCCAGGAATAGTGTTCACAGGGCCTGGAACACCACAGGTGCTTAATTAATGGTAGTGCCTTGCCTGGACTTCAGCAGCTTCAAACAGTCCAGCATTATGCCCACGGTCTTCTAAAGTGTGTTGTATTTCCCTACCTGGCAATCCCCCTGTGCTCTGCATACCAGGCGGTTATCTTTTCTTCCCACATGTGGACTGTCATCTGATACTGCTTGAGGACCTGCCAGGAAAAAGAAGAACTGAGACTTCTGAGAAGGAAAAGCTTCAGTGGATAGAGCACGGGCCCTAAAGTCAAGAGGACCTGAGTTCAAATCCTAGCTGTGTGACTCTGGGCAAGTCACTTAACCCCAATTGCCTCACCAAAAAAAAAAAAGAAGAAGAAGAAAAGCTTCTTCCATTGCTAACTAAAGATGAAGATATTATTATCACCCTCCTCCTTATAATTACCCTCATCCTCATCCTCCTCTTTCTCCCATTCCTCCTCCTCCACATAATTATCCTCTTCATCACCATCTTCCTCCTCCTCTTCATCATCATCATCTTCGTTCTCAGCCTCATCACCCTCCTCATCATCCTTATTCTACTCAGCCCCAACAGCAACTGCTCTGAGTAATTTCCATTGCAGGATAGTTCATTCATAATAAGAGCTAGCATTTGTCTCTCACAGAGGACGTTTTTTCTTTTGGCCCTCACAACAGTCCTAAGAGGTTTAAAAAAAAAAATATCTTATTCCCTGCTGGGTTCTTACTAAATGTAACAGAGGAGGGGGTAAGGGGTGGTCACCCACTCCGGCAGCTCACACGTCCCTACCAGGCTATATGGATACTCTAGGCTGGCTTACTCGCTCCAGCCTGCACTCCCACTAACAGGTCGGAGTTTGCAGGGAAGAACCACACTGCCACTCGCTCAAATACCTAGAGGTAACCCTGTTACGGAAGAATATATTCCCCCTTTCACCCCTTCAGCTCTCGAATTTCTACTGATGTGCTCATATTTACACAAAATCAGCTGTTTACCATAATAACACTTTTAGCAGATGATTAGATAATCATTTATTGAACAATAAGGCAAAGAAAAAAACAGGTATTATATATTAAAGCAAGTATAGGAATATTAAGTACACTGCAGTCTATACATAAGTCTGGGCCACACTTGCCCACCAACGCACTTGGTGTCTGCTGGGGAGAGGATTTCCCCACTTACAGAAACCTGCCAACGAGATTCACCAATAATGAACAAAAGGATGACCTCCGGCCTCCGTGTCAGCCAGCAGTGACACACACACAAAACCCAAACAAGGCGCGCTGCTTTGTCTGCCATTCACATCTTTCACTCCTCAGGGCCTAGTACCTCTGTGTGACACGGCAACCACGCCATCCTTGGTGCAAAGCATGCAGCCTGGAGCCACACAATGCTAAGGCTGGAAGAGCCCTCGGAGGAAACGTATGGAGAGCCCTCCTGGCCAGCGTCCCACACAAGTCATTATCGAGCCTCTGAACAAAGGCCTCCAGTGACAAGGCCTTCACAGTTTCACTTGAAGACAGTTCTGAGGGTCTGCAGCGTCAGCCGTGAGCCTCAGTCCACTTCCCCAAAGTGCCCCCCCTCCTCCTTCTGCCCCGAGGCCTCAGCAGAACCTGCCTCTGCCGTTTCCACTTGACACCTCTTCAAACGTCTGAAGACAGCTAGGAGGCCCAACAAAGTCTCTTTTCCAGACTAAATGTCCTCGGTTCCTCTGACTGATCCTTGTGCCAACCCAGGTGCCCTCCTGGACGTGTGCTGCTTGTCAATGTCCTTCCTGATGCACACCTTGCCAAAAGCACTCCAGCTGCTTGACTGAGGATGGCAAAAAGCTGGAAGGAGAGTGTAAGACTGTGGTCCACCCCACCCCAATTAAACACGGAAGGTCCATACTTCTCATGATGAACTGATCAATCAATCAAAGGCATAAACAAGGTATGCATAAGTCTTTAATCAATTTGGGAAGAGGGAAATGCTTCTGAGTCATTTAATGAAGTCCAATCAAAAAGAAATGTATTGGGACTGGAAGAAAGAATCAAGCACACCTCTGGGTCTATATATCATATAGCAAGCCGGTTCTGAAGCAATTATTCCACCCACTGCTTTGGGAGCTTCCTGGCTTGGGAGCACCTTGAGAGGCCTTTGATCTTTGCATCTATACCAGGGGGAAGGAGGAAGAGATAGAGCCCAGAGGGAGCGTTCCACTCCCCTGCCACACTGACCAAGGGATGACCCAGTGAACCTTAAAAGTTCAGAAGACTCGGACTTCTCACCAGCATCAGTGACAGTGTCCCCAAAGCCAACAGTGGCCGCTGACGGCATCTGCATTGGGAGCTGAAAAACACCCTGACAGTCAAAACTAGACCTACTAAAGAAAGCCTCTGCCTTGCAGGGCCTGGCAGAGAACACTCCACAAAGGGAGAAGGGACTTCCAGGACCAAGGGCTACCAGTCACCGCTTGGCCACAGAAGGCCTCAAAGCCTGAACCCACATTCCCCTGGACGCGGTACATCCTTGTGGGAGATGGCGTTCCAGACTCTTGGGAAGACTTGTTTTGTACCAACTGCATTACCACCTCGGAGAATATCCCCTTTGGAAAAGCTAATTAACTCTGAAGGCTAATTGACAGCCACTGGGCCACTGGGTATGGGCTTGTGAGCAACTGGGCATGGGCTTGTGAGCAACTGGGCTTTAAAGCCCCAAGCCCTCAGGATTTATTGAAAATTGTCTTTACGTGTAACTGGAAAAAATAAAATACTATTAAATAAAAAAAAAAAAACTAGACCAAGTAGCAAATATAGAACAATATATGGGGTGGGGAGGGTAGGAGAAAAATTGAAAGCTCAAAAGTTTATGGAAGTGATTGTTGATAAATCAAAGTAAGTTAATAAAAAATTTTAAAAAGATTTTAAAAAGAGAATAATATATGCTAAAGCAGAGGTTCTTAACTTTTTTGTATCATGGAATCTTTGGGCATTCTGGTGAAGCCCAGAGACCCCTTCTCAGAATCATGTTTTTGTTTGTTTTTTGGTTTTTTTGGTGAGGCAACTGGGGTTAAGTGATTTGCCCATGGTCACACAACTAGTAAGCATCAAGTGTCTGAGACCAAATTTGAACTCAGATCCTCCTGACTCCAAGGCTGGAGCTCTATCCACTATGCCACCTACCTGCCCCGACAGAATCATGTTTTTAAGTCCATAAAATAAATACATATGATTACAAAAGAAAATGACTTTGCTGAAATGAAGTTATCAAAATGTTTAATGTTACAAGTTCTCAGGCCCTGAAATCTATCCACAGACTCTTGAGGGTACATGAACCCCATGTTGAGAACCTCCGTACTAAAGTACAAAATTAAATACCATTGAATGACGAAACACAGAGGTCAGAAAATGAGTCCTCTTAAAAGTCAGAAGGGAGAGAAATCAGTATTGGCTGGAGCAGGTGGGAAAAGCTTCACAGAGGAAGTGGGAATTTCAAGGGGCTTTGAAGGATTGGAAGGAGAGCACGGAGGTCAGCAGAATTCAGGAAAAAGCTGTTTCTTTTTAATCTCCTCCTCTCCTTAGGAATGTCTCTTGGTATCTCTTACCCTCAAAGTGGGAAGAATTCAAAGGCGTGAGAAATGCAAGAAATCTTCTAGATACTCACTCTTTTGGGTAACAGTTCATCCTGGGCTAGGAAGCCTGGTTTGTGAAAGTTGGGGTCGTAGTCACCATACTGCAATAGAAACAAGACTCCATTTAGCTTGAAGATCAATCAATAAACATGTGTGAAGGACCTACTCTGTGGCCAGGCACTGTACTAAACGCTGAGATACAAAAAAAAAAAGCAAAAGGAGCTTACAATCTAATGAGGCAGACAACATGTAGTCAAATGTATACACACAAGCTCTATACAGGGTAAGTGGGAAATAATTAGCAGAGGGAAGGCACTAGAACTAATTGGGGCTGGGAAGGCTTCCTATAAAAGACTGGGATTAAAACAGGAAATAGGGTATAGAAATCTATCCTGCCCTACAGGAAAATAGAAGGGGAAGGGGATAAGAGAAGGGAGGGTGAGATAGAAGGGAGGGCAGATTAGAGAAAGGGGTATTCAGAATGCATGCCATCTTGGGGTGGAGGGAGGGACGAGATGGGGAGAAAATTTGGAACTCAAAATCTTGTGGAAGTGAATGTTGAAAACTAAAAATAAATTTTAAAAATGCTGAAAAAAAATTAAAATTAAAATTAAATTTTAAAAAAAGACTGGGATTGTAACTGAGGCTTCAGGGAAGCCAAGGAAGTCAGTAGACAGAGCTGAGAACAAAGAATACTCCTGGCATGGGAGAAAGGCAGAGGAAATGCCCAGAGCTCTGAGATAATGAAAATCACGAACACTTATATAGCACCTACTATGGGCCAGGCACCATGTTAAGCACTTTACAATTACTAGTTCATTTGATCCTCATAACAACCCTGGGAGGTAGGTGCTATTGGTATCCCCATTTTACAGATGAGAAAACTGAGGCAAACAGAGGTAAGTATCTGAGAAAAAGACTTGCCCTCCAAGTCTTCCTGACTACAGTCCATCATTCTATTTAGTTCACCACCTTGATACCTGAGGGAGTGTCTTTTCCGTGGAACAGCCAGGAGGCCAGTGCCCCTGGATTGAAGAGTATGCCTGGGAATAGAAAGTGTAAGAAGATTAGAAAGGTGGGAGGGGGCTAGGTTATGAAGGGCTTCGAATGTCAGAGGCTCCCACAATAATCTAGGCTCAAGGTGACAAAAGTCTGCACCAGGGGGGTGGCAGTGTCAGAGAAGAGAAGGGGTGACCACTTGGGGAGGACCGCAGGGATAAAGGCTGAGGCAAAGGCGTGACGACCACCCAGGCAGCCTCTACTGCACAACTGCCCCAGAGTGCCTAAGGTGATGATGACTGACACCAGGTGGTGATAAAGTGAAGGGAAGCCCCCTCTGGGCCAAATGTTGCTGAGAGGCCCAGAATTTAAAGTTAAACAACTCGTTAGAAGTGAAATCGCTAAGTAGCACTGAACAGAGCACTAGACCTGGAGTCAGGAAGAAATGGGACCTCAGACAGTACTAGCTGTGTGACCCTGGGCGAGTCATTTTACCTGTCTGCCTCAGTTTCCTCATCTGTGGACCACAAGAGCACCTACCTCTCAGGGATTCTGTGAAGATCATGTGAGATAATATTTGTAAAGCACTTTGTTAACATGCCATTGTTATCATTATTATTATTATTATTATTATTTACCAAATGTTCCTTCACAAAACTGCTACTAAGCGCTATCTACCAGACTCAAGATATTTAATCCTGGGGCTGGTGACCTGTTTCTGAAGCTCCAAGAGCCAAAGAACTGCCTCCTATACAGTCTAGCTGCCAAGGTAGGAACAGGGACCTGGGATTTCACTGGTGTAGGGAACTCCCCAGGGGAGGAGACTCACTTTAACAATGCAGGTCGGCACTTTCTCCACAGCTCAGACTTAGGGAGTTGGGTAGAAGACACAAGAGATTAAGTGACTGGCCCAGGGTCACACGGTCAGTGAGTGTCTGAGGGGGAACTTGAACCCAGATCTTCCTGGTTCCAAGAGCAGCTCTCTAATCCACTAC